TAAGACAAGAAAGAGCTTGGCACTCTGAAGAAACCACAGGCAAGCCCGTGTGGCTGGAGCACAGTGGGTAAGGGCAGAAGAGGAAGAACAGGGTTCTAGATTTTATCCCAAGAGTGTTGGGGGAGCATCAGATTCTTTTTAGAAGTCATTTTCATTCATTAATATTTCAGAATATATCCCTGAACCTAAAAAGCTTTTTAAAAAAGATATCTATAATAACATTATCATACGTTAAAAAATCAACAATTCCTTGTTATCACCAAATAGCCTGTCAGTGTTCAAACTTCCAATTGCTCATAAAGATGGTATTTCTTCTATGCTTTAAAAAAAAGGATCCAAACAAAGTCTACAGATGGTAATTGATTACATCTTCTACGTGTCTTTTAACTCAAAGTTCCCCTGTCCTTTTTCCCCCAAAAATTTAAAAATAAACTTTGTTGAGATACAATTATTCCAGGAACACAAGGTTGGTTCAACACCTGAAAATCAAGCAATGTAATTTACCACAGATACAGAATAAAGAGAAAATCATATGACCATCTCAATAGTTGCAGAAAAAACATTTGACAAAATTTAGCCCCTACTCATGACAAAAACTCTCAACAGGCTAAGAATAAAAGTTAACTTGTTCACCTGTGAAAAACATCTAAGAAAAACCTACAACTAACATCACGCTTAATGGTGAAAGACTGAATGAATGCTTTCCCCTAAGATCAAGAACAAGGCAAGGATATCCACTCTCACCAATTCTATTCAAAACTGCACTGGGGTCCTCACCACTGGAATAAAGCCAGAAAGGCACAACCCTAATTCAGGGGGAAAGTAAGACTGTCTCTATTCACAGTTAACTTTATTGTCTATATATAAAACCCTCAGATATTTACAAAAATCTACTAGAGTTAATCAGCAAATTTAGCAAAGTTGGAGAACACAAGGCCAATATACAAAAATCAATTGCGAGGAGGGTATAGCTCAGTGGTAGAGTGTGTGCCTAACAAGCACAAGGTCCTGGGTTCAATCCCCAGTATCTCCATCAAAATAAATAAATAAGTACAACCTAATTATCTTCCCCCTAAATATAAGGAAATAAATATTTCAAAAATAAATTAAAAATTACAAAGTTAAAAAAAAAGAAAATGAGGACTTTTGTGCCTCTCATCCTGGCCCCAACCTGCCAGGTCTTCTTCTCTAAATAAAAGACACGGGCATTTGCCTAAGAGGAGGCCTCCACCTGGCAAGTCATCCAAGGTGTCCGATAGATATTCATCTCAAAGCTGGGCTCTGGAGCAGCCATACCTGTGACCCCAAGAAGCCCTATCTCTTCTAGCATGAGAGGTGATGCCACAGACCCCAGGCCTTTCCCACGATAGCCACACATCCTTTCCGAGAGGAGCATATCCAGCCCCACCTGGTCCATTTACAACACCTCATCACCTGCAGGGAACTTATGAAACTCCAGCTCTTCTAGCTCTGGGTCTTGCTAGTCTCTATCCTTATAAGATTCTCTCCTGAGACCTCATATCAAATTAACGAGCTTTTTTTTTTTTTTTAACACTTGAAGGTATATATTTCAACATTATCTCATAGATATACATCTGGTTTAAAACAAAAATTGTTTAATGAATTCACCACCAATGAAGGTCATCTCAAGTTGTAGACTGACCTGTCTTTCTCATTGCTCATGTAAACACCAATTAATAAATGTAAATTTTGAATAAACAGTTTTAAGTTTGTTTAAATGCTGGAAAATTTAAGAAAATATAAATAAATAGAGAGGTAGACCATGATCATGGATTGAAAAACTCAATATTGTTAAGATGTTCATTCTTCCATAACTGATAAATAGATTTATTGCAATCCCAAATCAGAATCCCAGCAGGCTTTTTCTATAAACTGACAAACTGCTTCCCCTATTTACATGGAAATGCAAAGGACCTGGAATAGCCAAAACAGTTTTGAAACAGAACGAAGCTGGAAGATATATACTATCTGACTTCAAGTCTTACTGTAAAGTTATAGTAATCCGGATGGTGTGGTATTGGCATGAGGATAAATACATAGATTCGTGGAACAGAAGAGGGGATCCAGAAATAGACCAACACTTACATGGTTGATTAGTTTTCAACAAAGGTGCCAACGCAACTCAGTGGGGAAAGGGAAATCTTCAACTAATTTTGCTTGAATAGTAGGGAATTGATATGGGGGGAAATGAACCATCCAAGGGTTTTCAGAAGGGAGGACTCTCTGGCTGTTGGGGGAGAAAGGATTTGGGTGGGAGGAATGGAAGAAGCAGGGAAACTATCCAGGAAGCTCTGACAATGGTCTGAGTAAGGAAGATGGTAGATCAGTGTGGAGGAGGCGGAGGTGGAGTGACAGGGGTAGACTCTGGATGTTTTTAAAGGATATGAACCTCTTAGACTCCAGTGTCTTAGTTTCTTCATGTGGTCAGGCCTAGGTGCTGCTATGCTTTTAGTGGTGTCACCCAAGGTTACTTACCTGGGAGGTGTGCGGGCTCCTTGAAGAACCTTGACCTGAGTGTGGGTAAAAGGCAAAGGTCGTGGTGGCTCAGCCCCAAGGAGGGGCTCTCCTTTGGCCACGCCCCCCCGCCGTAGACCCAGGAACTGCTCTGCAGGGTGAGGGCTGGGGCAAGGGGCGATGTCTGCCTGGTAGACGGAGGGGTGCAGGTGGGAAGTGGCTCACCCGGGAGCTGGCCAGTTCACTCTCACCTTGATTCGGGCCTCTGGGCAACCATCTCCCCTGGTGCTCAGTGGGTGAGGCCCCTGCTGGCAGTTGGGCCCCTGTTTTCCTCTCAGGAGAGCTGTGACCTCCCTGCACCTTATGTCACCAATGCCTGTGCCTCAGGAAGGAACAGTCCTCCAGGACTCTGGGCTGGAGCCATTTCTGCAGCAGGGAGTAAAGTTTCCCCACAGCCTGTGACCCTGGGACTGAGACCCTGGCTCCTCTGACAATTCAGCTGAAGCCTGAGCTGGAGCAGAGGGTTTGAGCTGGACCTCCAGACCCTGGGCTCTAGTCCTGCTCTGCCATCTACATGCTCTATGGCCTTGGGGAAGATACACCCTCTCTTTGTGCTGGAGGCTCTTGTCTGTAAAATGGGGTAACAATAATAGCGACTTCACAGAGGGTAGTTGTGAGAATCAAATGCACGTAAGACTGAAAGAGCGCTTGGTGGTAACTATGAGGGTTGTGGTTATGGCGCAGATCCGCCAGGTGTCCTAGGGAATGCTGACCTTCCCTCCTCTTCCACCTCTAGGCCTCCCACCCATCCGTCCTAGACTAGCAGGAACTCAGTTCTCACCCCACCCTCTTTCTAAAGTCTGGGTAATGGGGCTTCTCTCTGGGGCCACCCCTGACTTTGGGGATCTTGGAGAACATTAGCCTTACTGCCTAATTTTCCCCCTCCACTTCCTCTGCAACAAGTCTGAGGAGGTCCCTATCCATCCATGGCCTCGCCAGTGACATCTTAAAGGGAGAAAGGAGGACCAAGCACAGTCAGAGGATGGAGACAGAGAATACAGGGCAGATGCTCCCTGCTCTGCCAGGGCAGCTCTGCAGATGAGGAACAGAGGCTGCAGGGGGGGGAACCTGCCCGAGGCTGCAGGATCCCTGAAGGCGTGTTGTTTTGTGGCTGTTCTTTACTTGCTTCCTGCTAGTGTGGAAAGCCACCAGCTCTAGGAGGCACAGGGGTGGCCCAGTGGGTGGGCTAAGGGGGCCAGCCCCCATCCCACTCCCGGCAGGAAGGTGCCTCAAGTCTCCCCGGTCACCCAGCACTACAGGGCTCACAAGGGCCCCCTCGCCATCATGGCCATGTCTGGGGTTTGTGTGCCAGAGGCTGGGGGGCTCACAGGGAACTGTGGCTTTGCTCATAAGTTGGTTTGATACCTCTTCCCTCCTGAAGGACTCACAGCTACTGAACTGGCCGATGTGCTTGAGTGACTGGGCAGGGGTGTCGGGCAGTGGGATAGGGGGCTGGCTGGCAGAGGGGCTGAGGATGACAAAGTGGGCAGCCTTCACCCCTCTCCACCAAGGGTCCATTTCTCTGGCCGCTTCTTGGTTGCAGGAAGGGGCCTTGGACAGGGCTGCCTCCCTCACATCACCTCCCCCGACCTCTTTTCCAAGACGGCTGAATGGCTAACCGGGCCGCGCTGCCTCAGGGCCCCCACCTCCAGGGGGTTCAGGGCTGGGAGGACTTGGGAAGCTGGCCTCTGGGGGTCAGTCCTCACCATGGTGCCGCCTTGCACAGGTTGGGACCTGCTGTTTTACTGGGTTGTGGCTGCAGTGACTGGTACTTTGGGACCTATAAACCAGTCTGGCAAACTTCTGACACAGAACCTTCTGAAGGCCAGACTGGGGTCACAACTCCCTGTTTCTTTCTGCAGGCAAGAAGCTTCCCCTCTATGAACCTCAATTTTCCCTACTGCTCAACGGGTTAGCAATCGGCCCATCTTCTATTCACTGTTTACTGCGTGCCCTCAGGAGTTTGGTCAGGTGCCAGGCTCTGGGGGGACAGCCAGGAACCAGCCCTGGACTGAGGGATGCAACCCTGACCTTCTCGTGCCACCTCGGTTTTCTCACCAATACAATGGGCTCCCGCTCGCAGGGGCTAGAGTTGGAGGGAAGGGAGGAGCTTTGAGGTCTGTAGAAAGGCCAGCACTGGACAAAAATGGGCATGAAACTCGGGGGCCTGAGGGACTTTTATTCCCACTGCCACCAAGAAGAGCTCGAGCGTCAGGGCCAGGCGGCAAATCTCTGGCAGGAGGGCTGTTATCCTGCCAGTTGCGCGGGTTCCAGCCCCTGCTGCGCCCAGGGGAGCCTCCAGCCTAGCGGCAAGATCCTCAGGCCAGGGCGGGAAGGCCCCGCGCGTCATCGGGAGGCTGTGCCGGCCCGGCGCGGGGGCGGGGGAGGGCGAGGGGAGGGGCGAGGAGGGAGAGGGAGGCTTGGCCCCGCCCACCCGCAGGTGGCCGCGAACGCTGAGCGGCTCCGCGAGGGGGCCGGGCCCGGGGGCGGGGCCTGTCGCGCGCGTCCCCTGACTTGTCCCCGGCCCCGAGCCCTGCCCCCGGCCCCGTGCTTATAACCCGGGATGAGCGCCGCAAGCAGCCCTGCTCCGCCGCCTGCCGCCGCCAACTAGCTCCCGGTAAGAAGTCCCCTTCCCACTCACCAACCTGGGTCGCCCTCTCGCCGGATCCCACCGAGGAGCAGAGGAGGCGGCGGGGAACGGACTCCTGTTGCTCAAACGCCTGGCAGCCGGGGTTCCTAAGGCCGCGGGGATGGGGCAGGGGCGCGAGTCCAGGGGTCTGAGGGGCAGGTCGGGTTACTTGTCGCCTTTGCCAGGAAAGGTCCTTTCTGGATTTTCCCTGTCTGATCCAGCTTGCTTTAGGCAGCGAACCCCACAAATGGAAACCTTGAAAGTCCTAAAGGTGTGGGGGTTCCCAATTCTCAGGTCCCCTCTCTGACAATCCCCCTTCCCGTCTCTGCCTCCGCCCCTTTTTCTCTGCTGGAGACCAGAGTTGCAGCCTCACCTCTGCCGCTCGCCCCCGGGGCTTGGACGTCGGCCCCTCCCACAGCCCCAGCCTCAGTTTCCCTTGGCTCCAGGCTGCCGGCTCCGGTGCCTTGGGTGTGACGGGGCGCCTTCCCCTGCAGGGGGCGTTATTCGCCCGGCGCTGCCTTGTGAAAGGGATTTGCGTTCTCTGGCCGGTGGGGTCGGTGGCCTCGTCCGGCCTTAGTGCCCGGTTTCCGGCTGTGGGAGCGGCCGCTCCGCAGGAAATGTTTGCATTCTGGTTGCTGTTGCCTTTGGCCTCTTGGGCGACTGCGCCCTCCAGAGAGGGAGAGTCTGTGAAATGGAGGAAACTCCTCTCCGATCCTGCCTGGGCCCTTCCTGAGGAGGTCCCGTGACCTGGCCACCTCAGTGTTCCTCTCTGCAAAGTGGGGCGTCTCCTCCAGCGCAGCGCCGTCTGGCTGCGCATCTTGGGCAGGAACAAACCTGTTCTCTCCCCAGGGATGGATCAAATAGGCCCTCGGCTTTGATCCCTTCCCTCCACGCCCAGGCTGGTGACAAGAGAGGACAGGTTCTGGACGCCAGCAGACCCCAGCCCCCAAGGCGGGCACGGCTCCACAAATGGGTGAGGCTTTGGGTCAGCCTCCCAGATTCCCAGGCCTCAGTTTCTCCACTGGACATGGTTGGCACAGGCACAGGGCCCAGGAAACAGTAAGTCTGTATACTGTTGAGAGAGTCCATTCATTGTGTCTGGGGAGTGGCTCACCTGGTGGTGTCAAGCTGGGTGCTCAGAATAGGAGATGGAGTCCCTGCGTTCCTACCCTGGGTTCTGGTGGGGAAGGGAGACAGTAGAGGCAGAAACAGCCACAAAGGGGATGGGAACTGGATAGGAACTGGAGGAGTCTCCTTTCTAAACTCCCTCCTCCTTCCATCTCCCTCTCAGAGCCCAGGCAGTGGGGCCAGACCCAGGTGGAACCACCTGTGCGTCGTGCAGAGGAGAAATCTGGCTGTGCTGAGGGCTAGTGAATGAGTGGTGAATCCTGCCTGCTAAGCGCCTAGAGCCCAGACACGCACAGGGTAGGGTGGAGGAGGGAGGCCCCCACGCAGCACAGTCAGAGCTCCCCTGAGTACTCATATGTGCCCCCATCAGCCGCCCGCCCGCCCTGGGCTTGTGTGGTCAGTTGCCTCTGATGGGAATGGTTTTTCCCTGTCCCGGGGCCCCGGGAGCCTGACTCGGGGTTGGGGGCCAGGCCCAGACTTACCTGCTGTGTAAGCACTGTCCCGTGCCCCATCTCATCTTCGCCCCATGGGTCCTGGGAGGCAAGCCAGGACAGCCAGATACCTTCATTGGAGTGCTGAGCACGCAGCCCCTGAAGTGAGCTCCTTGCCTGTGGGCATCCATGTGGAAAGAGATAACCTCTGTGGAATTCAAGGTCTAAAGCTCTGATTTCTGCTGAAACACTTTGGGCAAAGTTGATCTTTCAGGCCTTGGCTCCTTCCTGTGGGGCAGACACCCTCCCTAGTCTTGGGACAGGTCAGGGACCTACAGGCATTTCAATATAGTAGAATAAATGGATGAATGAACACAATCTTTCCTCCAGAGCCAAATGCTCTTAGGAGAGGGTGTGAGTGTCTGTCACCCGGGTCTGATGAGACCTACTTAGTCTTCCTACCTGCTACCTTGGGGCATCCTCATTGAAACTGGAGACTCAGTCTTCCTAAGCCAAGGCTGATGCCCAAATGACTCCCCCAACCCTAGGTGGAGGAAGTTTGCTGGAGTGCAGGTGTCCCCAAGAGAGCCCAGTATTCCTGATTTGATTCTCAGTTCCCAGGAATTTGCAGCTGAAAACCAGCTCAGTATGTAGCCCAGAGTGAGCCTGCTGCCCTCAGCTTCCTTATCTGTCAGATGAGAAGAACATCCTTCCTCTGGGTCTCGCCAAGGATGTGCAGATGAAATGAGCCGAGTGTGGCAAGCAAATGCTCACGCTGCACCCTGACCATAGCACCTGCTGGTGGCATGTGGAATTGCAGCCTAGCTCTATTCAGACGCCAACCAGGGCAGCAACACGGTGAGAGCTGCAACCCTAAAATGAGGAAACCCCTTAGTCACGGAGAGATTCTATGGTCTAAGTGGACCTAGGGTTTTACAAAATATTCTAATGAACCCAGCTTAGCTGAGTTAGACTGTGAGGGAGGGTTTCCAGAGGAACATTCATGTGGCTGTAGTCATGACATACAGAAAAATAGAATACCGATTGGTGTTGATTCATTGAGGATTTTGTCTGCTGGCGGACAAGGGAGGGGGAGACAACCTGTGGTTTTCTAGGGGCCAGAAAGTATAGGGCAGAGAGCAGTAAAGGGCAGGTGGCCTGCAGTCCCTCTGGGCTTCGGGCCCAGCACTGCTGTCCACTAGCTGAAGACCTGTGCAAGTCACACAAGCTACCTGAGCCTCCGGGTCATCATGTGTAAACAGGTGGTAATAATTGTTCCTCCGTGAGATGATGCCCGTGTGGCACTAAACATAGTAACTGCCTTGTCATCCTTCTGGCTTTGACGTTTCAGAGCCACATGGATTTTCTTAGCGCTGAGCCACTGCCCAGGCTGGCCTGACATGTTCACTGGGAGCTGGCGGGATGGCTCTGGCTGCGGCCATGGAGAATGCCCCCAACCTTGCCAGCTGAGGCCAGGCAGGCAGGCATCCTGGCATGAGGCCTCCTTCTTCCCTTCCCAGGTGTCCCTCTTCTGGCAAAGGATGGCTGGGCTGGCACTGGGGCCTGGAGACACGGATCTTCTTGCCAGCGGTCATGTGCCTGGGAGCTAGAGAACTTGCCCTGGCTCTTTCGTGGAGGGTGGAGTGGCGGCAAGCCTGGGGCTGGGGAAGGCTGAGTCTTCAGGCAGGAAGCCCACTGTCCCGGGCTGTCAGAACCAGAAGGGCTTTCAGATTGTTGTGCGGATGGTGATACTGAGGAGAGCGAGGGACTTGCCGGAGGTCAGCCGTGGTGGTGGCGAGCACAGTCTAGTGGGCACAGGCCTGGTGCTCAGCTCTGAGCCCTGGGCTCCTCCCGGAATCTCACTAAATCCACAGTCACCCTGTGGGAGGATGAGCTGTTCTTGCTCCCATTTTGCCGGTGAGCAGCATAAGCTGCTTGAACCCAGGCCTGGAGACCCCAGCCAGCGCGCTTTGCCCGCAGTGAGGCTCACTCAGCGGACCTGGCTGCTCTTCCCTCTTCGACTCTCCCTCCCCCTACACTGGGGCCTCAGCCTCTTTTAGTTTCTGCCGAAGGCTGGGGCCCCATCACACAGGGACCAGGCTGGCCGAGGGAGGAGGGAGCTTCACCAGGAAGGCAGGAGCAACGCCAGGGTCAGAGCGCATCATTTTCTCAGCCCACCTGCCCAGCTAACCTTCGTATGTGTACATGCAGGGCCAAACATGCCCCCCACCACGTGTGTGTGCACACCCAGATACCCACATGCAGTCTCAGGTACACACTCCAGGGTAAATGCAGGCATGCACGTGCGCGCGCGTGCACGCACACAAACACACACACACACACACACACACACACACAGCCTGGCTGGCAGGAGGGGCTCCAGAATTTCTGGATGACAGCATGCATGGAATTCCAGGCCTGGAGAAGATTTTAACTCTCTCTCTCTCTCTTTTTTTTTTAAGTTTTTTGTGCTTTTGTTCTAGTATTTTTTTTTTTTGATGGAGGTGCTGGGGATTGAACCCAGGACCTCGTGCATGCTAAGCACACACACACTAAGCACCATTGAGCTATCACCCGTCCCGCTTAACCCTCTCTTTGAACTGACCTCCATACAGTAGAATCAGCAGCATTGTTCAGAGTGCCTGCCACATGCCTGGCACTGAGAGATGGTCCCTGTCCCCACAGAACTCACAGTGGGGGGCAGGGGCAGTTAGAATAAAGCATGATCTGCTATGAGGGGCCACGCCCAAGGCACGGTGGGATCACTGGGGCAGAGCAGGGCAGACCCAGATGGTCTGTCTCCATGAGCTGCCCCATCCCCCAGCTCGGTGCCCATCGTCTGGTCCCAGTACCTTTGAGAAGTGGCAGAGCAGAGGTGACCTAAGAGCTGGGTGAATCTTGGGCCCACATCATGTCTCCCTGTCTCGAGCCCAGCCCAGCCACTCCAGGGTGTCTGAGCCACCTGCAGTTTCTCATACCACACTTCATCCCAGGGACCCAATTCCCTGCACCTTCCCAGAGAGGCGTAGCCCCATACAGGAGTCTAGCTGATCTGAGTTTAAATCCTAGCTCTGCCATTTAGCAGCGAAGCAAGGCTGAGCCTCAGTTTCCCTGTCTCTAAAATGGGAATAGCACAAATGGAAGACTCAGCTTTTAATGGATGTTCATTATCTTGATTGTGGTGATGACTTTACAGGTGTAGACACATGCTGAAACGTACTAAATTGCATGCTTTAGACATGAACAGTTTCTTGTATGTCAATTATATCTCAGCAGAGCTTCACAAATATGCAACGATACACTCCCCACCGCAACAACACCACCAACACTGTTGCACACAAATACACGGCTGGGAGCACACAAATTCCTGGGGCAGGAGACAGGACAGATGGCTCTGGGGCTCCCGAGTCTCCCTGCTAAGTTGCCCCTAGGGAATTCCAGGGCCTGGGTAGGCTGGGTTCAGGGCCTCTGGTGTCACCCGGCTGCCGGGCCAGGCAGCTGAGATGACATCGAGTTTGCAGGGTGGTTCGCTGAGCCATCTAGACAGATTCTGGAAGCTGGGACCCACACCTTCAACCCTAGACACCTCCTACCTTGAGACCTTCCTGCCTCCCTCTCACCTCCCTCCATCCATCCTGGATGGCCCGTTGCCTGGCTGCTGTTGCCATGGGCACATCTCCTGGCCCCAGGGTTGGAGTCTGCCTGGCCTGGGGCAGCCTGGCAGGTGGTTGAATGTCCACAGAAGGGGAGAGATGTGGACATCCGTCAGACCTCCATCCTCACTGTTCCATGAGGTGGTTCCCTTTCTGAGTCTAAAGGGCAGCACAGACTGTGCATGGGTGTCCACAGCCTTTCCCAATAGTGTCTGTTAAGGACCTTGGTCAGACTCCAGTGTAAGCACTCCCACCAGACACAAGCATGGCCCCAGTAAGTGCAGGGTGCTGGGGCCATGATAGCCTGGATCCAAATCTGCCCTGCCACCTGCTGACCCTATGACCTTCATCAAGTGCCCGTCTTCTCTGACCCTCAGTCTCCTCTTCAGCAGAGTGGCCATAATAAGAGCATATACTCTCAGGGCCATATGGTGAGTGTTGGGGAGGCAGGGCGAGCCCTAATGCAGCCCAAGGGTTCAGGAAGAGCCTTCTGGGCAGAAGGAACAGTGGCCACAAAGGTAAGGAGTCTGGAGGCCCTAGTGCCTTCTGGAAGCTTCAGTGCAGCTGAGGAGAGGGAGGGACAGTATGGGACACATCTGTTTCTGCTGCGGAAGGACAGATCTATTATCCATGTACATCCTGGCTGCAGAGGCGGGACCCCTCTGCCTCTCCTTCCCCCTCTGGGCCTTAGTCTCCCTATTTGCACACAGGAGAGGTGGTCTCTGAGCTCCGCCCAACTAATCATTTCAGAGCTGAGCTCACCAAGGGAGGTGCTGGTGTTTCCTCTCTCAGAAGTACCTGCGTTTGCAAAGAGCCTAAAATTCCACTGTGTGAAGGTTCACTGGGCCCAGATGGGAGAGGTCCAGCGGGGCAGGGCTCTGCCCCCAGCATCCTTTTCCAGCCACACCTGGGAGGCAGCCTTGCATGCTGGGAGGAGCCCAAGTTCTAGAGTCAGACGCAGACATGTGCTCTGTGACCTTGAGTTGGCGATTGACCTCTCTAAGCCTCAGCCTCTGCCTCTCCAATGTGCATGGCAACACCTACCTCATGGCATCATAGTCGGGGTGCAGAGTGAGCCACACGAGACCCCCAGGGCCATGCCTAGCACTGCCCCAGCTTAGTAAGGAGCAGTTCTGATTGGAGTTGTATGGGCTGCTGCAGGCTCTAGGACATGGCCCCTCCTGTCTCCGGATGCTGTGTGTCCTTTGCATCTTCGCCTTGGCCTCAACAGCTCAGCCTCTGTTGTCTTCTCCAGCTGGTGGGGGATCAGCTCCAAGACATGCCTCCCCCTGCCAGCCCCAAACGCTACTGCCAGCATGCCCAGGCCCCAGCTTGGTGTGTGCAGCGTGCAGGGTCAGGGTCCCCTGGGGGCGGGGTTGGTCAGGGATGGAAGGGGAGTAGCTGCAGGAAGGAACAGCTCCCCAGCTGGCCCTGATGACAGAGGAACACCCTGTTCCGAACCCCGCAGTGAAAGCTAGTGGGGGGTTTAAGACTGCCCAAAGCCGAGGCGGGGGAGCTGGGGGACAGGCCAGGAGGGAGCTGTGTGCTGGGGCCAGCAGATAGGGCTGGGCTGCCTCCGGTCACTCACATTCTGACTCATCTCCCTCCAGACGAGATGTCCAGCAAAGGCTCCGTGGTCCTGGCCTACAGTGGTGGCCTGGACACCTCCTGCATCCTCGTGTGGCTGAAGGAGCAAGGCTATGACGTCATCGCCTACCTGGTGAGTGCGCGCCTGGCACGTCTGTCTTTCCACCTATGGTCCTGCTGCTGTGTCACACGTCCAAGCCTGGCTTCCCCGCTCTAAGCCTCCGGCTGTAGAGAAATGCTTCTGGTTGTGCTCCGTCCCTGTCTTCTTCCATCAAGTAAACATCTTTGACGTCCCCGGGTCTGAGATGCCCCCAGAGCACGGAGGAGGCCAGGCTCTCCATGCGAGTAACTGGACAGGGAGCACGAGCTTGGCAGAGTTGCTGGACGAGCCTGCCCAGGGAAGGACCGTGGGTCTGGGTCTGCTGAGTGGCTTTCCCTTCCCTGAAGTCCACTGTCAGCCCCCAGTAATCCAGCCAAGACTGGAGAATCCTACACTGGCTAGGCTGGAAGGTTCTGTTCCCAGAGGAAGTGGGCATGGTGCTCTGGCAGGCAAAGTTCAGCTGTTTCAAGAACGGTCTGTCTGCAGCTAAAGCCAGTCTCCCATTCCTGACGGAGCCAACCCTGTGTTGCTCGGGTTGGGCAGCGAGGCCCAGGGAGGGGCAGCTCCCTGCTCACAAGTCCCCAGAGCCTCGAATTTGAGCCGATGCAAAGAGCCCGGGGTGTATTCATCCTGCCCTCAGGGGCACAGCGGGGTGGACCAGATCCCGGGCTACCACTAGGCAGATGTAAAAGCTGAGTGACCTCAGAAAAGCACCTGCAGCTGGACTCTGGGAAGATTCCAGAGTCCGTTGAGCAGAATGCAGGGGCAAGGTCTGGGCAGGAGGCCAGAGTGCAGCCAGCAGAAAAATTGCACTTGTCTAGACGGGGCTGTGGGAACCGGAGGTCAGGCTCCAGCAGGGGGACAGCTGGGCACACCCAGCACAGGCCTCCACCTCCTGCCGACCCAGGTGCCTTGGGAAGGTCAAGTTGCTGCCCTTGGCTGGGCAGGGAGCGGGGAGTCGGGCAGTGGCCGACAAGCTGACCTTTGTACTGGTTTTGGGGGAAGTTTGTGGGAAGAGATGAATGGGTTCAAGGGAAGCCTTAGAACTTCAAGACGGTGACAGCAACTGTCCCAGCCCAACCGGCAGCCGAGCTGCCCAGGGCCAGCTCGGTCAGCCCTTCAGGCCACAGAAACTTTCCCAGCACGCCAGGCAGCTCCGATTATTAGCTCCAAAAGGGATTCCGGCTTCTCCAGACCCTGGTTTGTGCCCTTTCTCCTTCTTACTGTGACTTCAGCCATCAAATGGAAGCCACCTCCGTCTGAGAGCTGTGGCGTGTGAAAGGCACTGGTGGGGGGACGTTCTTCTCACTCTTCGTGCTGCCCTGGGGCTGATTGGCCCTCTCTGCTTCTGTTCCTCAGGCCAACATCGGCCAGAAGGAAGACTTTGAGGAAGCCAGGAAGAAGGCCCTGAAGCTCGGGGCCAAAAAGGTACCAAATGGGAGGTGGGGTTCGGGGCTGGAAATGGGACCCGACCTGGTGGAAGCAGCTGTGGGGGTTCCCGTCCCAGAGCTCCTTGTCTCCTACATCCTTCCAATTGGTCCTCTTCCTTCCAAGAGTGTGAGATTGATTCCTTCTGGTTTCAGGTGTGTGATGGCACCATCTTCTGGTCTCCCCCAGCTCTTCTTCCACCCAACCATCTCCCATCCCACCTCCCCATCCATCTCTCTCTTCCTCGTCCATCCAACCATCCATCTATCCATCATCCATCTAGCTGCCCATCCCTCTTAGCCTTCTGTGCCTTCACCAGTCCTTCTATCCATTCAGCAGAATCAATGTGTTGATTGGGCATCTAATCATGTGGTGAGCAGGCCCATATGGTGAATGGGGCCATCGTGGTCCCTGCTCGTGTGGGCTCACCGTATGAGGTGTGAGCTTCCCCCAAGAGGCAGCCCCTGGTCCCTGTGCCCCTGCATTTGGGGGAGTGGGCAGGGGACACAGCCAGGATGCTGTGCAAGGTCATCAGCCCACCTGCCCGGTCAGAACTGGTTCCCCCAGCAGGGCCCTTCTGCAAGGTTCCCAGAACCTGGAAAGGAGCCTGGCGCAGAGTAAGAGCTCAATTGACACGTTAAGATGAACACATGGCGGCGTGAACACCCTCAGCCCTGTGTCCCATCACTGGCCGTGGTCCTTAACCTGATGTCCCTCCGTGGTCGGGTGTCCCTTAAGTCGTGGAGAGGAGAGGAGTTGTCTGAGCAGAGGCTGGGAAGGTAGGATCTGAGCACTTGGAGGTGAGAACGCACTTCTGGCCAACTCATGAGCAGGGTTTTTGTCTAACGATCTGGCTTTAGTTCATTACTCTCGAAAAGCAATTCTCAAAATCTCTTGTTCTCAGTAACTCTCTTCTTGATTTGGAACTTTTATGTTTCTTTTCTTGCATATAACATTAAGATATAGTTCCCATTGCTTTTCGTTCTCTTTCATCCTCTGCTTCGTTTTTTAAAAAATTGTTTTGTTTTGAAATAATTACAGACTCACAGGAAATTGCGAGAATAACACGAAGGATCCTGTGACCCCGCTTTTACGCCCTTAACGGTTATTTATTTATTATTTTTTAATGGAGGTCCTGGGGACTGACTCCAGGACCTCATGTACGCTAAGCATGAATTCTAACAGGTGGCAGTTTCTTAAAGATGAGTGTGTTGAGGAATCTGAAATGGTCACAATGAATTTTTCATGCATTAACATCCCCCGGTCCATCTTGCGCTCTGAGTGGGACCTTTTACCCACACAAGGTTGCATAAGATCCATTGGTCATTTGAAAAATATTGTTTCATTGAGTTATGCAGATCCTCCAAATGTTGATACGTTTTATTATAAAATAGCAAAACATCACATGTGTCGATACAGGCAGACCTTAGAGATAGTGTGGGTTTGGTTCCAGAGCACCACAGTAAATCAAAGAACACGATGAAGCAAGTCACATGAATTTTTTGGTTTCCTGGTGCAGACTTTACCGCAGTCTATTAAGTGCGTGATAGCCTTATGTCTAAAAGAAAACAAGGTACACACCTAGAAAATATTTTATTGCTCAAAAATGTTAAGCATCATCTGAGCCTTCAGTGAGTTGTGGTCACATCACAGATGACTGATCACAGATCATCATATGAACATAATAATAATGAAAATGTTCGAAATATTGTGAGAATTACCAGAATGTGGCACAGAGACCTGAAGTGAGCAAATGCTACTGGAAAAATGGCACTGACAGACTTGCTTGGGGCAGGGTTGCCACAAACCTTTAATTTGTAAAAAAAAAAAACACAGTATCTGTGAAGTGTGGTAAGATGCAATAAAACTCACATCAGAAGTATTAGGAAGCTGGCAAGTTCATGGTGTCAGATACAAGTTTTCCATAATTCTAATTTACTGAAAAGCTTGGATTTTATCATTGGCAACAAATACTCAATTTTCCTTGAAGTGACAGGCTCACTACATTCAGTTTTATGAAAATGTTGCCCCAAAACCCAAGTCTGAATGACCCTCTTTTGTCTGTCAGTTCTTCATTCAAGCAAGAAGGATGTTCTATGGAAAAAAAGTGGCCAGTTCAGCTTGTAAGTCACTTGAGGGTGCGGCATTTTGGACTCAGCAGTTGAGTCCAGCAGTTGAGATTTAACCAAAGTAATCATTTTTACCACATCTTCAAGACCACCCTTAAGTAAAATTGGCACCTCAAGAGCAAGGTGTGAAGAACACAATGGCTCTGAGCAGTTTGGTGCCTCTGCCCTGATTTGTGCTAGGGTGCCAGCCCCTTCCCCATCATTACTTTTGCACATTCAACGTGAATATCAACAGGGTGAAAAAGGCAAATAACTGAGTATCATAAAAAAATGTTTTCAATCTCTCCAAAAGGGTCTGGAGGAACTCCAGGGGAGTCTACGTTTTGCGAATCATCCCTCTAGATCAGGGTGTCTTGACCTCGGCACCACTGACACGTGACTGCCTGCCTTGTGCATTGTGGGATGCTTAGTGACATCCCTGGCCTGTACCCACTAGACGCCAGACCACCCCAACAACCCACCAGTTAGGACAGCCAAAAATATCTCCAGATAGTGCCAGCTGCTCCCTGGGGGACAAAATGATCCCTGGCTTTTGTGAATTACATCTATCTACTGCTCTAGATCCTAGGTGGCAACTGCTTCATCTCAGGCCCAGAATGCTGTGTTAGGAGGAATTCAAGGACCACATCCAGTTTTTGCTGGATGGTATATCAAGATTGATTAGTAATGTCTGCCATGTATGCAGGAAAGAGAATACAGCATTATATGCTGGATTGATTAGTGATGTCTACTACAGATGCAGAAAGAGAAGTAAAGGTTCAGCTTGCTCCAGGATCCATTAGCAATGTCTGCCTTAGATGCAGGCCATGTGAGGCCCCTGGGGCTCTGTCTTCTGACTGCTCCCTGCCTTGCCAAGTCTGCCTCACATGGGCTCCTCTCCCCATAGGTGTTCATTGAAGACGTCAGCAAGGAGTTTGTGGAGGAGTTCATCTGGCCCGCCATCCAGTCCAGCTCACTGTATGAGGACCGCTACCTCCTGGGCACCTCTCTGGCCAGGCCCTGCATCGCCCGGAAACAGGTGGAGATTGCCCAGAGAGAGGGAGCCAAATATGTGTCTCACGGTGCCACGGGAAAGGTGAGGCCGGGCTGGACGGCTGGGCAGGAGGAGGAGGCAGAGGGCTGCGAAGGGGGGACCCAGGCAGCCAGGAAGCAGACGGCCCTCGAGCAGTTGTAGGTTCTCCCCAGAACAGTCAGCCCTGCAATGGACAGACTGGCCCATCCAGTCTGAATAAGAGGAATGTTTTTAGTAGCGAGTGTCAGGGCGTAGGGACAGGTCTGCTCTGTGCCCCGAGTGTGTGAGTCCCACGTGTCTGATCCACGTGTGGTGGGAGCAGTGTCCGTCACCCCATTTGGCAAACTTGACGCTGAGGCTGGGGGACGTCTGACCAAGGTCACAATGTGAGCTGCCATACAGGGTCAGAGCCACAAGTTGCAGAGGGCTGGAATCCCAGCTGAGTGGCCTCAGGCCAGGTCCTTGCCCTCCCTGAGCCTCAGCTTCTTCATCTGCAAAATGGGGAAAGGCCCTGTCTTAGTTCCCCGGGGAGGCTGCAGCAGCCCCGCGGCTGGGCAGTGTGAACCCCAGAAACGGATTCTCTGACGGAAGTTGAAGTGTTGGAGCCATGGCCCCCACAAAGGCCCCAGGGAAGGGCAGTTCCGGCTCCCCCTGGCTTCCAGGAGTGCAGGTGTCCTTGGCTCATAGGCATCTCAGTCCCGGCCTCCGTCTTCCCGTGGCTGCCCCCTCAGGGCGTCTTCACATCGGCTTCCCCCCAGGCGTGTCTGGTTCTGTGTCCACATGTCTCCTCTTTATCAGGACAGCAGTCATGCTGCACTAGGACCCACCCTCATGACTTCATCTTAACTCAATCACTTACGGAAAGACCCGTTTCTAAATAAGGTCACGTATTTAAGTCCGGGGGGGTTATGGCTTCAACTTATCTTTTGTGGGAGACACAGTTCAACCCGTAACACCCCCTACTTCCGGCCTTGTGTGCAGCAGAGAGGACCAAGGACGACCCTTGGGCTCTGAGCGGCAGGTTACAGGACTCGAGGAACAAGATTCCGAACAATGCAGGCAGCTGTCAGGCAGGGTCAGTATACAGACTCTCCAGTTGTGAGCTCTCAGTTAGCGGACACCCTGCTGACAGCCTGGTGCGGGTGCAGGATCCGGCTTGGTAACCCCACAGTTGGCAGGTCGGGGGCTCCCTGCTGACCTGACCCAGGGCCCCCACCCAGCTGATGGAGGCAGTGGGGGTTGGGGGAGCGGGCTCTGGCTCAGTGTGACCTAAGGGACACGAGGCTAAGCTTCGGACTGGGGAGATGTGATTTGAGGGTGGCCTTGCCCCACTGGGTGGCCCTGGCTCCTATCTTTGGAAGCTTCCTTATTCACTTGGTGCTCGGTCAGCAAGCTTGGAATGGTGTCTGTAAAGGGTTGGACGCGTGCTGGGCACAGGGACAGTGTTGAACTTCTTGGGACCCTCCTCCCGCCCTCCGGGGGCCTGTGTCATAGCGAGGGAGAGAATGGACGCACAGTAAGGTGGCTGTAGGGTCCCGGGTACGGGAAGAGTGTGCCAGGCGGAGGGAACAGCCTGAGCAAAAGCTTGGCAACAAGGGGCCCTGAAAATAGGGCAGGAGCTGCACCCTGGGCCAGGGCTGGGCGGGGCCATGAGAAGGGGTTTGGCTTCATCCCGAGGGCAACAGACTAGAAGGCTAGGGAGGCCCCCGGCTGGATGGGGGGTGGCCAGGGACCTCCCTCCATGGGATGTAGGAGATTGTTCTGGAGGGAAAGGCGAGCCCCTGTGGAAGAAGGGGACTGGTGAGTGTGTCTCACATGCAGACCGCAGACCCAGTGGTTCTGGTTTTCACACCTGGTCGTGAGCACACAGGGAGAAGAGTGGGGGGAGGAACCAGAGGTGGAGCAGTGGGCGGACCAGGGCTTTGGGGGCAGGGACGTACAGGCCGCCTTCCACCCAGAGGTTCAGGACTGGGGGCTTCAGGCCGGTAGAGCTGGGTTCAGATCCTGGCTCCCCTGCTCTCACACTGTGACTTCACCCCAGGAGTCTCCATTTCCTTATCTGTAAAATGAGAACAAAATAGAACCAGTTCATGGGGCAGTTGAGAGCAGTAAGATTTCTAAGAAAGCACTCAACACAGGCCTGGCCCTCAAAAAGGTTGTGCTCGTGCGGTGAGAGGGAAGTGCCCTGATGGTGCAAAGATCAGCCCTGTGCTGAGGCTGTGAGAACGAATGTCAGTGCAGGACAGAGAACCTCCGCCATCTCACCTGTGCATGATGCAATGAGCTGGGCAGTGAGTTCCCCGTTCCAAGATGTATTCAAGCCAAAGCTAGGAAATCAGGATTCCTGAAGGGCTCCTGCCTGGAGAAGGTCCCTCCAACAGTACCATCAGGACTGAGGACAGGTGGCTTTCAGGGCTAGTAGAGGGCATGCGTCTGTGTGGTGGGTCTGGCCCTGGCTTGGGAGGCTTTTGGGGTCCAGGGAAAGACACCGCCCACCCAGACTAGCTCACATGCAGCTGGGAATATGCAGCAGCTGTGTGCGCTGCCCCATTTGGCCACAAGAGGGCACCAGAGGCTTGAGTTTGAGACCGTTTCCCTGCAGAGAAGCCGCTGCAGGAGGTGCCTGGCCACCCAGGGTCCTCTGTTTCTCACCTGGTTCTGCAGGTCTTTGGTTCTGGGAAGAACACCCTCGGCGGTAGTTCTGTGGCCTCCTGGGATTTGGGGGCCTCCCTGCAGTTCACACTCAGTGTCCACAAGAGGGATGATCAGACGTGAAACATCACTGGGGGCCTCCAAAACCAGCAGCGGGATGGCCACAGGGGACAGTGGGTCCAGGTGCTCCCAGGTTGATGGGCAAGGCACACTCCTGTGCCTCCATTGCCATTGCCCCTCATTACAGAACCTGGGGAAGCAAGCAATTTCCTAGAAGTGGTGGGTGAGTGGGGAGGAGCAGGAAGGTCTGGAGTGGGATCCAGAGAGATGCCAGGCTTGGGGAGGAGGTGGGGGTAGGGAGGGGCCAGCCACCTGCAGGGGCTGGTGGCTTGCTTAGCTGATGGGAGCCATGAGGGGCGTCGCTGAATTTACACACCTGGAGGAGGGGATCCAGCGTGAGTGCGGCCATGTGGGGACAGGCCTGTGGGAGGCTGGCAGCCCCAGAGGCAGATCCCATAGGACACTCAGCAGAACTTTCTGCAAGGGGCTCAGTGAAGAGAAAGCTGGGTGTGAGCAGACGGCAAGGGGTCTTCGACAGGTGGGGATATTCTAGCGTGACCAGGGCCTCGGGGTCCTTGTTCCAGCCTCTCCAATGCCACCTTCATGCATTTGCTCACTGACTCCGCCCACTGAATACTTACCTAGCACCAGCTCTCCTCCACACACCAGGACATCACTACAGGGAAGTTGGGAGCCCTAACCCAGCAGGGGGGTCACACTGAGGCATTGGGGGAGGAAGTGACTCCAAGGAGGAAGGGCATCCCAGGCTGCAGGAACAGCCTGTGCAAAGGTCCAAAGGCCGGAGGCAGCTTCCTGCCCAGAACCCAGCCCAGGTGGCACCTGGTGTGGAGCGAGCTGGGGCCCTCCCCTCCACACCCCTGGGGGACCCTAATTGCACCCCACCAGAGAGCTGCACCTTCCAGGTCCTCCTCCCTCTCCCCAGTTTTGGAAGAGGGGCCCTGAAATAGGAGCCTGGGGGGCACAGGCAGCCGGAGCTTTGTAAATGGCGCCATCTGTATGGCTGGTCCAGGAGCAGACGGGGAGCCCCGCAGTCCCCGAGGGTCTGGCACCTGCATTCACACACGTCCACACGTGGATCAGGACTCAGACACACACGGGGTATGTAGCACATGATACGTCTCCTTCCCTCCCCCGGGGAAGCCACCAGGGCCACCCTGGTTGCCGGGGATCCTGGGGTCAGGGAGAGGAGGGACCGCGCAGGCCTTGGGTCTTGCCTGGGTCAGAGTTTGAACCCAGGGAGCCTGTTTGTTCCTGCGAGGGTCTCTGGCTCTGAAACAGATGGGTGTCCCCATGGTGATCTGGATGGGCAGACACCAGCCCAGTGTGCCCGTCTGAGGAGGCACAAGTCACCATTGTACTGGGGAAACTTGAAGCCCTGGAGAAAAAGTCGTCAGGATACGCAACACTAGAACATATGCTTTACGAATCTAAAATAAGTCTGCTTTTTATTACGGCCGCCATGGCTCTGGGAATTGTGCTGGCCACGGGCCTTTGGCAAGTGTTACTGCCCCCTGGTCCAGTTTCCCCATCCATGAGATGGGGATAAGATAAGATCCCACCTCAGCGGCACGCTGGTAGGATTCAATGTGTTCTGTACCTGAATGTGACCTAATAGATGGGAGTGGTGCCTGCTGGCTGTGTGTCCCTGGGCAGGTGACTCCACCTCTCTGAGCCCGGCTTTCCTCATCTATAAAACAGGGTTAAAAATCCCACTGATGCCAGGTGGCTCTCCCCTGTGAAAGCCAGCTCACAGCAGGTGCTCACAGAAGGGGTTGGATGGAGGGTGGTTGGGGTGGCTGGTCCAGCCCCGCTCGTGGGCCCGGGAGATACTGGAAAGGAGCAGCCTCGGGTCTCAGCTCCTGGCTCTGAAGAGAGGGGCTGAAATCTGTGTTTCCGCGTCGCCTGACAAGACTCTGGAAAATAACATGTTATTCCCGCCACTGCCTCGCTGCGCCCGTGCAGTTTTCACAGTAGGCGCGAGGTCCCTTGTTATTTCCGCGGCGCTTACGGCTCCCTCCAGGCCACCAAGCTGATGGGAGCAGCAGGCAGGACGCCGCAGTCATTGTCTCTCAAGGCTGGGCTGGCTGAGGCCGCCTCCCCTTCCTCCTGTCCAGCCTCCCAGCAGAGGCACAGGCGCAGGGAGGCCAGGCCAGCCGCCGGGGGGGGGGGCCGCACCCGGGCTCGGACCGGGCTCTGTGCCCCCGGACTAGTCCCTTCTACCTCCAGGCCTCAGTTTCTCTTTGTGCAGAGGCACTGAGGGACAAGGGCCCTCCCCCAACCAGCCACCGAATAGATGGGGAAACAGGCCCCCAGAGGAGACAGTATTCCTAGTTTTATGGACAAAGCACTGTGAAGCCCCAGCCCTGAAGTGAACGTGGTCTCTGGCTGGGGCCAGGCAAGTGGGGGACCTCCAGGAAGAGGCTGAGGTGCGGGCAGCCCAGGGCTCCCCGCAGTCTCGGCAGGGCCAGGCCTGCAGCCCTTGCGCGCGTCCCCTGCAGTGTGGACGCACGTGATGACCTGTGTGCACATCCTGTCATGTTCCCAGATACGCGCACCCGCGTCCTGCCACGTGCCCCCCACCGCCGGCCCACTGCCGCGCACTAAAGTCATGGCAGTCACAACTCAGCACACGCCGGGCATGTGGGCGTCTGGTGGACACGGGGGCACACGTCCTGCACACTCGTGTGCCCATGCAGCTCAGCTCTGCACTCAGGCAGTCCTGGGTTCGAGTCCTGACTGCACCTACGGGGCAGTAGCTGGTGTGTCCTCTCCAAGAAAGCCCAGTTTTTGTCTTTCTGACGGGCTCCTGGTACCTGCTTCAGGAGGGTGCGAGGTTGGAGGTGAGCATCTGTGTGAGAAAACCATCCAGTGGGCCTGCCCTGAGTTGACGCTCATGCAGCCCTGCCCCTGCCCCTGCCCCCGACCCTCCCACTGGCCCCGCGTTCTGTGGCTCCTGACAGTCCCCTGTTCTGTTTTCAGGGCAATGACCAGGTCCGGTTTGAGCTCACCTGCTACTCACTGGCCCCCCAGATTAAGGTAGGATGTTGCTCCTCCCCTCAGTGGGTGGACGCTGGGGGCTGAGGCCCCTGGGGGCAGGGCTTGGGGTTCTGGGCGGTTCCATGTACGCGGACCGCATGCACCTGAGCCTTGTGGTGGGCGACGCTCCCCTCACTCACGCCAGCACTCTGTCCCACCCCTTGTCCTTCCCGGGGATGCTGCCCGGGTGCCTGGGTGGGTCAGGCACTGATCAGAAGGACGGGGCTGCCTTTCTGCCGTGTCCTTGCGATCCCAGGTCTGGCTTCCCGGGTGCAGCCTGGAACCGTCCCGGGACACGGCTGGCCGATTTCTGCGCGGCCCACAGCCCTCTCAGCCCCGGTGGGGGCCAGCCAGCTAAAGCCCTCCTCCTTCCCGCTGCCTGAGCCCTGGCCCCCCCGTGTCTTGGACCCTTTCCTAGGATAGGAGTCACCCAGCTCAGGCCAAGGTGGAGCAATAGAACCACACTGAGCATCACAAATGCAAGCTCCAGGAAGAATTTAAGTTTTTCTTAAAAACCAAGACAAAAAGCAACAGGTGATGTCATGTTAGGAATGTATCTGATTGAAGTCTCTGTATCCAAAATCATACCATTCAACATGTTATCGATGTAAAATAGTGATTGAGATGTTTTGTATTCTTTTGGTACTGTCTTTAGACTTGCTGTGTGCTCTGTGCTTACAGCCAGTACCGGCCACGATTTGGTGCCACATGTGGCTCCTGGTGGCCGTCTGGGACAGCACTGAGCTCCTTTGAGGCCACTTCTGGCTAAAGCTACAGAAGATGTGCCCCTCCCAAGCCCACAAGAGGCCCTAAAGTGTTGCCTTTTTTTCTTTTAAGTGGAACATCTTTCTCTGTCCCTGGAACCAGCCAGCAGCTGCTTAGGGGGTGAAAGTGGCCTGGAGGTGAGCCGTAATGAGCTCTAATGATCTGTTTTGACCTCAAACACCAGGCGGCTGAGAAGCCCCTGGACAGAGGCTGCTTGTTGATGCTGCTGGCCGGTGGGCATGGCGCCCTCCCCCGACCCCCACTCTCTGTTCCCACAGCAGCCTGGGGGGCCAGGGTGTCTGGTTTCTGGGTCTTTGTCTGCAGAGGCCAAGCCCAGGAATGGGATGGGGCTGGGGACAGGGCCCTAAGCTAGTCTCTGGGAACTGGGATGAGGCCAGAGGATGCTCCGCGTGCCAAGCCTGGTCCAGGTGCTGCTCATTCCAGGACCCGGAGGCCCATCTCCCACCCACCCCACCCCTACCAGCTCCCCAGCCCAGAAATCAAACTGGCTTCTTCATCCAAACGACAGCCCCTCTCCCAGCCGGACTGTTAGTGGCAGCGGCAGGGGCTGGGCTGGCTCCAGGGCTGAGTGAGTCTCTTCTTGGGGACCTGTCCCTGACCCCCCAGGCTGGTGAGATGAGCTCGGTCCCTTCAGTCAGGCTCCAACTCCCCTCTTTTCCCCACCCAGAGGAGCCCCGGGGTGTGGAAGGGAGAGAGGCAAGAGGGGAGGGGAGGGGGACATCGTATGTCATGTGGGCTGGGCTAGGTGGACCCTCCCTTAGTCGCCAGGCGTGGGGGGTCCTGGCCCTCTGAGCAAGGGTGCTAGTGAGAAATTTGAGGCCTGTCTAGTTCAAACCCTCAAGTCTCAACAGGAGAGACTGAGGCCCAGAGGGGCCAGGACCCACCTAGGGGCACACAGCCATTCTGCCACGGAGCTCGGTTGTCTCCAAGGCCACCCTTTGATGTGGCAGGCTGTGTCCCTTTCTGCTTAATGGGGTCCCCCTGCCCACCCCCCATGGGCTACGTAGATCCCCCAACCCAGGTGACCAGTGCAGCCCCAGGCCTCTCACCAGAGAGGCAACTGTGTAGCTTAAGGGCCAGGAAAAGCTGGCAGCCGGGCCCTCCCAGTCCTGACTCCTTGTCCTGTGTCCAGGTCATCGCTCCTTGGAGGATGCCCGAATTTTACAACCGTTTCCAGGGTCGCAACGATCTGATGGAGTACGCCAAGGTATGGCCCGTCTCTGCCATCACCCCAGCCCTTGCCTGGCGCCCTCCAGGGGCCGTCTGGGCTGGAGGCGCGAGGCTGGGACTGATTGCCACATTTGGAGCCTGAACCTCTGCCCCACCCCCCTACCCCCAAAGCACTAGTTTCCTGGGCCACCCCACAGAGGGATGGTCCCTGCCTGGGCTGGGCGTCTCCGAAGGGAGTCCCCAGGCCACCACGCAGGAGGGCACTGGGCCCCCTCTACTTCCCATCCAAACTGCCATCTCTGCGTTGTGTGTGCCACTCAGGGGACGGATGGGGGCGGGAGCGAGGCTGTCCTCTGCCCCTCAATTACCTGCCTAATTGTCCCCAATGCCTCCCCAAGAACAGGTAAGCACTCCGAGGGGCAGAGCCAGACAAAGACGTCTGTCGCACCAGCCCTTTTGAAGTACAAGTTGCAATAAAACATATTAGAAGTTTTGCATCAAGCTCCTTAGCCACTCCCCAGGGTCCCTTTCTTTTTAGCGACTCGATGGCAGCCTTTGACAAACAGCCTCAATCAATCAGACGGGGGGAAGGCAACTCGGTGCATACACCAGAAAATTGCTCAGGTTTTTAAATAGCAGTCACCGGGGCTGGCTGTGAGCTCTCACTGCAGCCAAGGTGACGCGTGGTAGGGGACGCAGCGGGGACACAGCCCTGCCCCTACCGCCAGCATCCCATTAAGACCCGAAGAGCTCGGAGGAGAGCTCTCCTCTGCCATCTGTTGTTTTATTATTAAGAGGGGAGTTTACAAGGGCAGGCCCATATGTTGCCAAACAAATTTTCAAATAGCAGAGCTATTAAGAGAACCGGGTTGGAGGCTTTTTTTCCTCCCCCTCTTCATCTCCTTGATGGTATAGAGCATGAAGCACGTTTTATCTTTAAGAATAATGAACAGGGACCCCCACCCCATCTATGTTCTTAACGCCTGCAGTCTTGGCTCAAGCGAGGGCCAGGGCTGACCCAGACGATGCCCTCCGTTTCCGCGAAGCTTCTGAACAAAAGCGGCTCTTGGTTTTTCCAGCAAAGGTGAATTTCGGGAGAATTGTGGCCCCTCCTTCCCAGGTTGTGGGGAGAAGGCGCCTGGCTCAGCTTCTGTCTCAAATAACCTTTCAAACAGGAAAGTTTGTTGGGAAGGAATGAGGCCACGTTCCCAGCCACCGGTCCTCCCTCGGAGGCTGGTGTCAGAACTGAGCTCGGGGAGTCAGCGCCTTCTAGGACGGAGGCAGTGTCTGTGCAGCTGGGGAATGACCAGAATAACTGAGCAGCAACCAGACTGTCCAAAATTCAGAGCCAGGCAGCTGCTTTAGCCGAGACAAAAATCAATGGGGCTTTGAAAACCCCGGCTTTCAAGATCCGTAAGTTGTCAAGGCCACAGGGTGCTGTAGGAGGCGCATAGAAAACATACATTTGTCTCACTTTCTGCTCCCCAGTCTGCTGTCCAAGGAAGAAACACTCAAAATCCACCCCATCCTTATCCCTATCAACATCATTAAATTTTTTTAAGCCAGTGTGCCAGGTAGGGGGCTGGGAAACTGGGCAGACTCCTGTGTCCATGTTGAAGATGGTTTTGTTTTCTGTCCTCAGTTGTACCCAGAGTTTCCTGTGTGTGTGTGTGTGTGTGTGTGTGTGTGTGTGTGTCTGTGTCTGTGTCTGTGTTGGCGGGAAGCTCAGGACAGAGCAGCCCAGGAAACCAATCTCTTCCGTCGAAGAACTATTGTTGACATTGTGTCTCCCTGCTGGGGATGGGGAGTCCGTCCTGTCCTCTCCTCCACCCCTTCCCTCCCTTTCTCCTCTCCGTGCTCTGACAGAGCCCCAGTGGGAAAGAGAGAAGGCAAGAGTGTTTCCAGACCACCTCCCAAAAGAAAGGCTCCAGGTAACCTGCCCACTGGTTTCCTCGGCCCCCAGCCTGGGGATTCCGCTCTGTGCGGATTTCAGTCCATCTGGCCCACGGTCCCCACACCTGGCGCACTCTACCTGGAGACGGCACAGGGCGAGTGAGCACGTGGGTCAGACCCTGGGCAACGCTGAGCAGCCTCTACATGAGGCATTCCATTTGTCAGTGTGGTTTATGGGGGAGAGTATGCAAATTTTCGAGTGGATGTGAGCTGTTTCTTTTCAAAGGAGTCTCCTGGAAAAGCTTGGGAAAAAAAAAAATCCAGAGGGTTTAACTCAATTTATTTAGGAATTTTTAAGGTGGTGATGAAGGAAACAGTGGCTCCCTGGAGGAAGCCTCTGGAATCGTAGTCGTGGGCAGGAGCTGAGCCAGGGCACATCCCCATCAGGAGAGACGGGAGGGTGCTGGGGTGGGCTGTGGGACCTGGGGCTGGCTAGGATCTGGGACCCACCGGGGCGAGGTGCCAAAAGGGGGCTTGGGAAGCAGAGTGTATGGGCATGCCGACCTAAAGGCGCCAGGCTGGGCCACTTCGCTGTCTTCTGTGCCTGGTAAGTGCTGAAGGAGAAGGCAGCCTGTGATGTGTCTGCTGAATCCAACCAGGTGTCAGCCAGGGCAGCACAGGGCAGCTAAGGGACCCAGCTGCATCTCTGACCCAAAAGGCCTTCACAGTGTCACCAACAGCCTTCCAGGCCCAGGGTCTCCGTGGGGATGGCTTTTTCCTTGAACAAAGGATTGGATCATTTGGGAAGCAAAACATAATCAGAACCAAGGGGGAGGATGGGGGGGTATCTGGCTGGATTGTTCCCTTTTGGGGCTGCTCAGTGATGTGTGTGGTGGCTGTGCTAGGCGGTGGGGGAGAAGGCACCCCCGGAAAGAGCTGGGCCCGCACCTCGGAAGCAGTCATCAGGGGCCAGCAGCTCTTGTGGGCGCCTGGCGCTTCCTTGGTCAATGTTAAGCACCTGTGTGGGCGCAGATGCCCCGGTTGAGATTCACTGTGAAAGGGCCGTCCATTCTAGCTCCCAGCTCGTAGGACCACGGTGGGGATCAGCGAATGGTGCTGGGAGACCCTCGGCACACTCTTAGTGCTCCGGGGGCCCTTGAAGTGTAGACTCAAAATCTTCTGGAAGAAGCCTTTAAGGTCAGCGTCCACTCTGCAACTTCTCAGACAGGGTCTTGTATTTCCTGCCTGGGCATGTCTGGAAACGGAGCCATCACTCCCTTCCCAGGCAGCCTGGGGGAGGGGAAGGAGAATGGGGATGTGGTGAGCATGAGGGTTCAAGGTCTTGCTTGCTTGGGAACCAGAGTTTGGGGATGTCTTCGACCTTGACCGAGGCGGCCGGGCCTCACCTCTGCATCTGCTTCAAGCTGCCTCACACCAGCCCTGTGTCTCCTCTTACCTACAGCAACACGGAATCCCCATCCCAGTCACCCCCAAGAACCCGTGGAGCATGGACGAGAACCTCATGCACATCAGGTAAGATGTTGCCCACCCGTCCCCTACTCTGCCTGGCATCACTGAGCACCTGTCTGCTCTGGGCCGGGATGTAGTGATGACCCCACAAGCCACACGGTCCCTGCTCTCACAGAGCCCTGGGACCTCAGGAAAGAAGGACTACCTTGTGCCCAACTCGTCCCCAGCTCTCATAGCAGCTCTGCTGAGTGCCAGCAGTAGATAGTGGACAGCTGGCCTTGGCTAGGATATCGGGGAGAGCTTCTCTGAGCAAGTGGCATTTGAGGTTAAAACTTCAAAGATGAGGAGGGACCAGCTAGGGTGCAGGGAAAAGCATTTAAAGCAGTGGGAACAGCATGTGCGAAGCCCCCCATGCCCAGATCTGGCACTCTGAGGCTGTGGCCCAGAAGACTGCAGCTCCCACGGCCAAGTCTAGGGGGGCCCAGAATGTTCCAGGAGGATTGGCAGCCATTGCTTTGGCAGAGATAAAAGGACAGACGGGACTTGTGTTGGGGCTGAGGGTATCAGGGTGTAGCTGTGTCCTTCTGCCGCTTCCTTACTCACCCCCATCTTCCTTCTCCCTTACAGCTACGAGGCTGGAATCCTGGAGAACCCCAAGGTAATTTCCCATTTCCCCAGGCCAGCAGTCTTTGGTGTTAGCTGCTCCATGCCGATGCTGTCTGGTGTGTTTGTAGCCTAATTTGAAATTTCACGGGGGGCCGGGCGTGGGGCTGGGGCCGAGCCCTGCTTGTGTTCCCCGACCCTCCCCACCGGGCCCCCTGCTGCCTGCCCACTCCACACTGTATTTTGAGATCCACCCCGGTCCCTGGTGCTCTTTTTCTAATTGCTGCTGGGATGAATAGAGGAAGGAAATATTTCAGGGCAGCATAGAGAGAGAGCGTGATTGTGAGACAATAAAGAAGCAATTAGGCAGATGAGACACTTGTGGGAGGGCCCAGCCTGTGCCCACCAGCTCTCAGGCCGCTGCTGCTGCCACTGGGGGAGGCGGCCCAGATTAGAGCCGCAGGACCCATTTGTCTGGGCCTGTGTCCCTCGCCCGCCCGAGGCAGCCACCCTGATCCCCTGCCCCAGCCTCCCCGGCCAGCCAGGCTGGGCCTCGGCCCCTGTTTGAAGTTTAGGATTTCTCTCCCTGGGGGGTTTTCCTTTGTATCTCCCCCTGCCCACCGTGGGAGATGGGGGAGGCAGGGCGAAATCTATCCTGGGAAGAGAAAAATCTCTTTGTCCCTGAGGGAATGTGTCTCTATTCCCTGGCTCAGCCCCACAGCCAGGCGGGCGGCTGGTTTGGGGGTGGGGTGGGCTGCTCGTCTGATGTTAGGGAAGACGTGTGCTGGGGGGAAGAGGGGGCGGTGTGCTCGGGCAGCTGGGCCTGGGGGATCCAAGAAGGCCAGCTGGAGCCGAGGATGCCCAGGTGGTTTGGGTGCGGGCGGGGTGAGCTGGAGCCCTGCCGGGGGTCCGGGGACAGCTCCCCACGGGGCCCAGGCCACTTGGTCAATTCGGCAATACTAGAGCATGAACCATTTCTGGAGCCAGGCCTGGGATTCGCATCCCCTGGCCCCCATTTACTTTCCTTGACTCCTGGCTATGAGCCTCCTCATTTTATGAGTGAGGAAACTGAGGTCCAGAAGAGTGACTCGCCCCAGGGCACCAGCTGCTCAGCAAGGCCTGGTGCCTGAGTCACCCCATTGTGGGGGCTGGCCCTCCGCCGCTGGTTCCCCCACAGCCCACACCTCCCTTCCCCATCCGCTCAGCCCTCAGCCCAACCGTGTCACTCAGGAGAGCCCGCACCCTTGCCCCCTGGGGGCTGATGGCCCCACGGGGCTGCTGCCTCCTGGCCGCAGGCTTTTCCAGTTCATGCTCTGCTGACCCCACGACACTCAGGCCAGCCACCCCTAATTAGCCAGTCAGTCAGCGCCAAGGGGGGCGGAGGAGGCTGAGCAGAACAGAGCGGCCTGGAGGAGGGTGTCCACTGGGCCCCAGGCCTGCTGGGAAACCATCCACCCTCTTCTGTAGCAGCCTGGGGTGCTCTCGCCTCACAACTGGGGGAGCAGAGCCAAGGCCAGAGGGGACATCGCCCCTTAGGCAGTGTCAGGGTGCCAGTCCCCTCCCCTCTCTGGGCTCTTGTCTAATGAGAGCAGTGGACAGATAAGTAAGTGCTAAAGGGTGTATTTTTAAGGATTCTACCACCCAGTCCAGGTGGGAGGATTAATGCTTGGTTCCCAGAGATCTGAAACCTGGATCTGAATCCCAACGCTGCTTTCTGCTGCTGTGCCACCTTGGACAAGTTACTCACCGTCTCTGAGCCTCCAACTTCTTAAAAAAGCACTTGGCCTAGGGGAGGGTATAGCTCAGTGGTAGAACGCATGATAAGCACGCACAAAGTCCTGGGTTTGGTCCCCAGTACCTCCGTTAAAAATAAATAAAAATAAACCTGGTCACTGCCCTCCCCCAACCACCAAAAAAAAAAAGTACTTGGCCTGTCCCTGGTGCAGGGCAGGGCCTCAGTCATGGAACCAGTGGTCCTGTCCTCCCTTCTCAGGCTGGCTAAGATTATCTGGGAAGGAAGGAGCCATGGTCCTCTCAGGCAGGAAAGGCTGGGCTGCGTGTGAGTCAAGGGGGAGATGCCCGCTGAGAAGCATGGGGCCAGGCCGAGGAACCAGGGTCTGTCTGCTCTGGCCCTGCTTTCCCAGGCAGCCCTGCTGCAGGGTGGGGACCCGTGGGGTCCTGATGTTCTGTTACCACCAATAGGTCCCAGGAATGAGGGGGCAGCAGCCATGGGCCTGGGAGTGCTCCTCTCCGCGGTGGAAGGAACGCAGCACCCCTGGCAGCCCTGGCCCCCTGGGTGGCGGGGGCGGGGTGGGGGGAGCTGGGGGGGAGCTGGGGAGACAGAGCTTCAGGGAACTGGTGCCCCCTCCCCCTCTCCAAAAAAAGCCCAGAGACCTGCGAAGGGAGGGTTTGAAGGCAGATGGCGGAGCCATTTTCTGCCTCCGTGAGGGTTGATTGAAGGGCAATGAGGCAGCTAATGCGAAGAAAGATAGAAATTTACTTGCTTTAACTTCATACGGCCCACAGTGAAAGAGTTCATTCAGTTGCCGGCCCGCCATATCTGATGGATGAATAAACCATTGCAGCATCGATCATGCCTCTACATCATGGTTTAGTTCATGGGCCATTTGCTTCCAATTTCTCCTTCTCGGCCCTGTTTCATGCTTTTCTTTCGCCCTCTCCCCATCCTTCCCCCCCTCCACTCTCTCTCTCTTTTTTCTTCACTCTCTTCCCTCCCCCAACACCCCCCCCAACAAGATGACATTGGAAGTGAGCCCTCCTGCTGGGATGGATAAATAGATGGTATTGATACTCGGCAACAAACTATTTGTCATTTGAACTGGGCTTTTAGGAGGGAGAGTAAAAAGAAGGCAGGCGTGAGCCACCTTGGAATGCAAAGCAAATGTCACTTTATTTCTATTTGGTTATTTTATTTAATCGGTGCTGTCAGGGTGTCGGAAGCCTCCGACTTCCACCGTAGATTGCTGGGTCTTCCCACCTCCTCTCTCCTCCCAAATGCAAACGTTCTCATCCTGTCTGTGGCTCCGTTGACAAGCGCCAGATTGGAAACTGACTGGTGGAAGGGCTGGGGCTCTCAGCGCTGGTGCCCCAGGTTGAGTTCAGCCCAGGCTGGACGACCAGGGAGGAGCCCCAGGCAGGTGAGGAAGGGAGCTCCGGAGTCATGTCGGCCACCCAGAGGCCCCAAGCCCTGGTTCATTTGCCTTTTGGCTGAGGATGGCCCTCAGGCCTCTCTGTTCCCAGGGAATGTGGTGGTTGGCAGGACCCATGAAAGCCTGGGAGCCGGGCATTTCTCTGAAACCAGCCCTATGCCTGGGCTGCGTCTGGCCACGTCCCTCGTGCTGTTTCTCAGGTAACTAAAGCGGCTGGGAAACCGCATGGGGTGATGGAAAGAGCACGGGACAGGGTTTCTAGCTAGAGTCCTCGAGGCTGGCTCCCACACCGGTGGAGCAAGGCAGTATGGTCTGAACAAACAGCTTCTTTGGCCTTGGTTTTTCAACTTGTCCATGGAAGCATTAGGCTGGAGGTCCTTAAGGACCCTCCTCCTCCCTGGGTCTGCCTTGGAGGTCCATACCAGGTCCCTGTTCCCATCCCACAGATGGAAACAGATGAAGGGATGCAGCTGGCCCCAAGCCACACAGCATTTGGGAGGTGCAGGGGCTCAATTGCCAGCCCCATCTGAGCTCAGACATAAAGCCAGAAGGGTCAATTGTCTCTGTTTGGTGCGGACTGGAAAGTGTGGGAACTGGGATGATTGCTCACCTTGACAAAGAGCCAACAAGGAAAGTGACAACAGGTGAGGGACTAGGGCACCCCTGCTGGCCCATCTCTCCTGGAATGGCTCTTCTCGGAGCGAGGCATCGCCAGGAGACTATTCCAGCTGTCCTGTCGCCTCCAGAGTGGGTTAAAGCTTGCACTAGGCCTTCTCTGACATCTTCTTGTCCACTAAACAGCATAAAAAAAACTGTCTATACATTTAAATGGTAAGGCAGTCGAAGGCAAGTATCAGTTCCCCCACTTAACTGATGAAGAAACTGAGGCTCAAAGAAGTGAAGCAGCCTGTCCAAGGTCCCACAGCCTGAGGTTTGACTCCTGGCTTTGGGGCTGTTTTCCACCAGCCTAAAATCCAACACATCACTGTTGAGGGCCTCGTGGGCTTCCTGCCCTGTGCCATGTAGTCCCTGCCCGCACGGAAGGCACTGTTGCACCTACAGCCCCTCCCCCTTGGCCTCTGGTTCTTCATCTGTAGGTGGGGTAACTGTACTTGACCTCACCAAACTGGGCTGCTGACAACACAAAAGAAGCTGCAAATGCAAAGTGGCATGGGAGCGTTCACGGGGTTTTGAAAGCAAAGATTTAAGGGACGGCACATCCCAGGATGTTAGCAGGTGGACAACAGCTGGGCCCTGGGATGCCCACAGGAGGGACGTGAGCAGTCCGGCCCAAGAGGCCCCCGGCCCCTCTGTGGCGAGGGTCCAAGCCTCAGCCTGGGGGAGAGGGGCCTCGGGAGGCGGCAGGGAATTTGCGAGTTCCAGGCAGCCAGCAGCACCACTGCATCAAGACGCAAGGGGCCCATTTTCCAACACGCCCAAGAAAAAATATACATAGAGGTTGATGTGTTTTCAAATGGGTTTTTGCTTTGCTCTCCTCTTTTCTCCCTGTGAGTATTAACCTCAGGGACCCCGGGGACGGCTCTGCTCGCCGGAGCACCTGCTGGGGTCACGCGCAGTCATTAGCTTTGCGGTCAGTGCAGAATAAACCCCAATTCCCGGCGCCTGCAAGAGCGTGCGCGCCCGCTCCCGGGAAGCCCGCCTGGCGCTGCCACCGCCTCGTGCCTCCAAAGTCGCGCTTTTCCTGCCTGACTTGTTCCTCCTGCTATTCTACCTCCAGCTGTGGGGGCGTCGAAGAAAAAGATGAGATCAAGTTGAGGGGAAAAATTGTCTGATTTCTTGAGCCTTTTGTTTCCCAGGCCCCTGGCTGGCTCCGGGTGGGGGGCTGGGAGGCCTGCTGGACTCTGCCAGCCAGTGGCAAGTGCCAGCAGCCCCCTGGTTCTGGAGAGGGGTGCAGGGAGTCCAGGGACTGGCCTGGCACAGCTTGGCTTGGACACACCTCCCTCCAACTTCTTTCTGTCTTCTGTCAGAACCAAGCGCCTCCAGGCCTTTACACCAAGACCCAGGACCCGGCCAAAGCCCCCAACAGCCCGGACATCCTTGAGATCGAGTTCAAGAAAGGTAGGTGCCCACCTGTCAGGACTCCAAGGGGCAGACTCCTGGGGCCATGGCTCCTTTATCCCTCTTGCCTAGGAGCCTGGGTACAAGCCCTCTGCATCCCTCCTGTGTTTCTAGAAGCCAGAGTTCAGGCAGGAGCTTCAGGTGTTCCCCACTGCCCCCTTCCTCTGAATGGCATGATCTATGTAAGCCTCCAGGCTTGGAAGGAAGGCACATTTGGGTGCTCTCCCCTGGTTCATGGGCACCAGATCTGGAGGGAGCATTCTAGTCCCTGAGCAGCCACTTGCGAGCTGCTTTGGCCCTTTGGGGAAGTCATTCAACTTTCCTGGGCCTCAGTTTCCTCATCTGTAAACTGGGGATAAAAGAGCATCTGCTGCCTCGTGTTTTCATGGTATCAAATGAGGTCTGGGTGGGGTGTATCCAGCACAGGGCCCAGCATTGAGAAGGTGCTCAGCAAGTGCGAGTCTTAAAGAGCCAGCCTCAGGGGCCCCTCTGATGCCACTGCTGGTGCTAAGTTAGCTGCGTGATGCATCTCCCTACGCCCCATCCTGGGTTCAAAGCTGCTACCATTCCTGCTCGTGTCCTGATCTCCTCATTTTCTCTGTTGTCAACAAGAAGTGTTTGCTGGCCTGGTCTGAGAGCCCAGCCTCAAGCCTGGTACCAGGGACACTCTGTGCCCTGGAGGACAGAGAGGAAGGCAAGGCATGCCTGGTAACGGGAGGAGTAGGACCAGGTTCAGGGTGAGGGCTCAGGGTGTCCAAGGAGAGGACCTTTCCAAGAAGCTGCAGAAATCAGAGAGGCTTCCTGGAGGAAGTGGTACTGGGCAGGAGCTGGAGGAACCAAGAGGGGTCTTGAGGGCATTCCAAGCCCAGGCAAGGAGGCCAGCCCTTCTGTCCACAAGGCAGCTGCAGAGACGGGACAGAGAGAGAGGGGCTCTGCCGAGAGGCCTTTCCCAGGGCACCTCTGAGGATCGGGGAGGGGCAAGCAGGGGTTCAAAACCCTGCTCTCTCCTGCTGATGTGACCTTGACAACCAGTTTCACCCTTCTGGGCCTCAGGCTCACTCACCTATAAAATGGGCCACAGAAATGGTGCTCATAGATGCTGAGCGTGGTACGTGGAGTGAGGCTGTGGGAAACAGAGGCTCTTGGTACTTTAATAACCTGCCTCCTCCTTGCCTTTCCCCAAAGCCTGGCCAGGCCAGTGGGCATTTTCATGGCTTCCCCAATCTGTTCAAACCCTTGAATTTCATGCCACCTGGGGACCAATGGGTCCTTGTCCAAGGCCCCTAGAGGCAGCTGGAGCCCTAAGTCCATCTTATGCCCACTCTTTTGGACCCACGCCTGCATGGGTGTGGGATCCCTTTGGGCATCATCTCTGAGAAGATGGTGGCATGGGTCCAGGCAGCACCCCCGTAGGTCCCTCAGGAGCCCGGGAGAGTGGTGAGGATGGGAGGTGGGCAGGAGGCAGAGAGGGTCCTGAACACGGGGTCTGGCCCCCTTTCCTCCTGGAACAGAGCAGTCCCGAGGGCTGAGCCTAAGAAGAAATGTGATCCATTTTAATGCTTTGAGGACTGTCTGGAAAAAAAAAGTAGACGGGAGGAACCCTCCCTGACGACTCCCCATTCACCCTCTAGTTAATTTATTTGAAGTTTTAATCTAATTATTAACTATTTTAAAGGCTAAGAGGCTTTCTCTGGCAGCAGCACCAACAATGTCAGCTCCTCTTGGGGACAGGCCCCTTCCAAGGCCCCGAGAGGCCATAATGAGACCGGGAGGGAGAGAAAGGGAGAGGGGAGAGGCGGGGTTGGCGAGAGGGGCTTAAGGTTCATTATTGGGCAGACTTACATTTAATAGCAATTTACAACCAAGTTATAAAACCCCTGGAAATGGGGGTTAAGAATGGCGAGGCTGACAGCGCCTGAGCGAAGCCCCTCCAAGCGGCGCCCGGCTAATAAAGACTGGAAAGCCGCTATTGAGGCCTGATTGGCACCCAATCGCTGGCTACATGGTAATGAGCTGGGCAGATGGGTGGGGGATTAGCCGCCAACTTTGAACAGCTTTTCTTTGTCACTGTTACAGCTCTCTTGTTAGGCCTCTAATACATTTATTGCTCATTTCACACCGCTCGAGAAAATGCCCCCTTGCTATTCAAAGTCAACCCCGAACCCACCCACTGCCCCCCCTCCCGCCACCCCCCTTGACTCGGCCCTTCCCTCCCCGAGTGGCCACCTCCCTCCTGCCCTCCTGCCACCCCAGACCCGACTTCTCAGAATTCATGGGCGCCTCCAGCCCTTCGCCCGCCGGAGCGGGCATCATTCCACCCCCATCAGCCAGACGGCTGCGTGTGGGTCTGGGGTGCAGGACAGGGGCACAGGGGTCCGCCTGACAGACGTGGCAGGGGGCTGTGTGTGCATGTCTGCATGTGTGTATGTGCGTGTGTGTGTGTGTGTGTGTGAGCTCAGCCGCACCTCGGCCAGGCGGCCCCCCGGTAACTGGTGGGACAGAAGGTACTTCTGCGTAAGACAATGGTGGAGCGTGAAATTCAATTAGTTCAGGGCCTGGTTCCAATTTCACAGCCCCTAAATGCAAAAGGGGCACAGAGAATGGGAAGGGTGGGGGAGAGCGTTTTTATTGCATTTTCCCTTTCATTCTGGGGGGCTTTCTCGCCCCTTCTCTCTCCCCAGCAGGCCTCAACCTGCACAGGGCTTTTCAAGGAGTCATTTGGAGTCCATATCTGTCACATCCATTTAAGGCGTTGCGGGTGGAGGGAGAGGGCGGGGGAGAGGCGCAGGCTTCTCCGCCGAGCTCAGGCCGCAGGCCCACCGCCCTCTCCTCCTGCCCTAGGGGTCCCTGTGAAGGTGACCAGCATCAAGGATGGCACCACGCACAGCACGTCCTTGGAGCTCTTCATGTACCTGAACGAAGTCGCGTGAGTGCCGGCAGCCGTGCCCAGCCTCCAGGGAAACTGTTGTCCCGGGCAGGCACCAGCTGGGCCCATCACGGCTGATGGTCCCAGCCTGAGGTTTAGGGGCCAAGGAGGAGAGGCCTGTGTCCTGCAGGCAGCCTTGGTACTGCCCCATAGGCGCGAGGTTCTTTGGTTTAGTGGGAGAGTCCTGATGGCCCTCAGCCTTGGATGGTAAATGACTCCAGGGGGGTCCACTGCCCCGTAGGGATGGTCCAGCTGGAGCTTCCAAGCTCTGCTGGATCTGAGACCAGGAGAGAAGGAAAGGTGAGCAGTGTTTAGGGCTGGGGGCACACGAGGCCCAGGACAGAGATGACGGAAGTTGCAAATTGAACTCACTGTGTAACTCAGGTGATCCCGTCCCTCTCGGACCTGAGTTTCCCCATCTGTACAATGGGTGGTAGGACCGGTGGCTTGGCTTAGATGTCCTCTGAGTCTTGGATCCTGAGATGGGGACTGACGCCCTGCCTGTGGTCTCCCTACAGGGGCAAGCATGGCGTGGGCCGCATCGACATCGTGGAGAACCGCTTCATTGGAATGAAGTCCCGAGGTGAGTCTGTCGGCCTCCCTGAAGGCCGACCCTCAGCTCCCAGAAGCCACTGAGCCCCTGTCACATCGCTATTACCAGGCTAACTTTGGGCAAGTCTTTTCACTCTGCCAGACTCAGTTTCCCTCACGTGACATGGTGATGAGGGACCCTTTGCCCATGACGTCCGAGGCATTATGAGAAGAGCTGTCCTGGGAGCGGGGAGAGCCTGGGGGTCAGGGGGAGGCTCAGAGGAGAGAGGAGTCCAGGGCCAGGTCTGGAGGTCAGGCCCTCCTGTGCCCTGGGCAGGTCGGCCAGGCTTAGAGGCAGACCATGTAGGGCCGATTTCGTGGTCATTAAAAGCTGCATGGAGGAGGCCAGCTGGCTGGCAGGGCGGGAATCCTGCCAGGGGTGGGCGCTGTGAGCCAGCCGGGGCCCTGAGGGCCTGTCCCAGGGTCTGGCATGGTGTGGAGGAGTGGGGGATTTCTCCAAGGATGGGCAGGACTCCGCCTTGGTGCTGAGCGGCTGCCACCTTGGCTAAGCTGCCCGGCCCCTATCCACCTCTGGCTGGGCTGGGAGGGAGGAGAGGCTGGACCCCAAGCAGGCACTTCCGTCCCCTCAGGGTTCCCTATCAGTCGCTCTTCAGGTCATCCGGACCTCCCCCTCCCCCTGTAGAGGAGGAGCTTTCATGCCGCCCTGGGATAAAGCGACGCCACGTGCTTCGGGACTCCAAGCGGGAGGGGCAGGTTTTCGGCAGTTGGAGCCCCGAAGTCGGGCACTCGAATTTTCAAGTATCAGTGGTGCATTGAGGCCTTCTGCGTGGACAGGTGTTCAACTCGCTTTACTTAGGGTCAATTTTAAACCAGATAAAACCAAGCCAAGGTATCATCATGGCCCTTTGTCCTTCAGGATGTTTTTACTAAGATTCTAAAATCCAAAGAGAGTTGACGGCCAGATTCCAGCGGCCAGAAAGGCCCTGGCCCGGGAGGCGGGGTGCCAGGGCTCTCGAGCCGGGCTCCCTCCCTGTGCCTTGCTGGGTGACCTTGGAATTGTTATCTCAGGGCCTCAGGTTCCCCAAGTGTAATGTGGCAGGCCTCGGGGTGGGAGCTGGATCATTCTGGCTGTGACCTGTTTGAGTTTCTCTCAAAAGGGGAGGAAGGGAAGGAAGGAGCCGCTTTGCCTCTTTCGTGTTTTTTTCCTCCTCGACACAGCTATTATCCTGAGATACAACCTAATTGAAAGTCTCTCGGGAAGGCCTTGTGGAGAACAATATGGCTAATTAGCTGCTCCCTTCTCCCCTCACTTACCTTTGTGTCTTACCCATATTAACATCTGATGAAATGTCCCTTTGTCTCAGTCTGCCCTTTGGAGCCAGCACAAAGCACATTATCCAAGGCAGACCCTGGAGAGAACGTGGGGGGCCAGAGACCAGCACCCTCATTTTACAGTCAGGGAAACCAAGGCTCAAAGTCACAGGCACGTTAGTAGCAGGACCAGGACTGATGTCCAGACGCAGAGAGGCAAGGAGTGGAGGGCCACAAGTCACTCCATAAAATGGCACCCTGCTGGGAGCAGGGAACCAAGCCAACCTGAACGGGAGGAAGTAGTGACAAAGGTGTGGCCTGGGCTACTCCAGGGAGACACCCTGGAAGAGGTGGCAAGAGAATAGGCTACAGCTGGTAGAATGTGGAACAGAGTGGAGCCTTCCAGCAGGAGTGGCAGAGGAAGTTGGAGGAGCCCCACGTGGCCAGTTGGGTGGTGGCTCGGGTCCGACGCTGGCTGAGCCCCTGCAGACCTGGTAGAGGAGGACTGGTGTCAGGATCCAGGCCTGGGGACCAGACTTGATTCCCCATCTTGGCTCCATCACCATTGGGAAAGCAACGTGGCCTCTCTGAGCCTCAAGTTCTTCATCTGTGAAATGGGTTGTTGCGCAGATCAAATACAGAGAGCTCTTGACCCATAGTAGGCACTGTGCCTGGACAATAGGCTGGGGCATCATCACCATGGAAGGGCAGAGCCATGAGATTAGCAGTCAGGTCTGACTCCCTTGGCTTCTTGCTGCCCCCCTGAGGAAGAGATTCCTGGAATGCAGCCCACACTTCGCCCAGGTACGGTATGTGTTACCTGCGAGGGGGCTGTCCCTAAACGCATAGAATTTAGCCTGGGAGTTAAACAGTCTTTGGGGAAGACAACCTGGATTCTCACTCTCAAGAACTTGCGGTATGACCTTAGGCAAGTCGCTGTCCCCGTCTGCGACCCCCACCGACAAAGGTGGGACCCCCAGGGACTGGGACGTCTTCCTCTGCATGTTGCCTATTTCCTGATCTGGGTTGGGGGTGAAAGAAGAGAGTTGTTTCATAATTTCAGGGTGAGGTCTTGCTTCTATTTCTCCACGTCCAATAATTCACTGTGAGAAAGAAAGGGGTGGGGGACAATAAGTGAGGGCATTGTGGATTTGCCCAGGAGGTTTTTTATTTGGTCTACGGTAATGGGAGAAGCTGTTAATTGTCAATTATATTGAGGGCAGAACAGGAAGACGCTATTGTTCGTACCTTCGTGTACGGGGGGAAATGTCATTTGTATTGATTTTACAAAGCTCGTAATTGAAATTCGTTAAGGGTTTGGGTTTTTTGGGGGGGGTGGATGGGTAGGAAGTTGGGCGGTGCTAGTGCCCTGGATCTGGGCTGGCCAGGTCGGCAGCGCTCAGGGCCTTGAGGTCAGCAGGCTGGGGGCCCGGGAAGCTGCAGATGGAGTGGCTTTCGCTGTATTGTGGCTGTTCACATCGTATTATCACATTATCTTTTTAACTCCGGAGGGGGGCTAATTAAGCGAAGTAAATGAAATCAGTGGGGAGGAGAAGGGGGGGCGAGGCAGGCAGGAGGGAAGCAGGGAAGGAGCCTGTGCCTGCCCTTCCCTCACCTCTCCGGCCGGTTCCTCTGTTCCCAGCCCTGCCCTGGGGTCTCACCTCCACCCACTCCTCATCGCCTGCTTCCCCTTCTGCCCTCTACTCCTCCCTCCCACTCTCTGCGCTCTTTGCTCCACCCGTCCCATCTCTCGCCCATTCTCCCCTCCTCTCTCACTTCCTCCTTACTGCAAGGAGCAAGGGGTTGCCGCCCACCTGTCCAGGCCTCCCAGAGGTTCTGCTCAGATGGAACGTTCCAGAGCGGAGGGAGACCTCTGAAGCAAAGGCATTCTCACTCCCAGAGGCCTGGGATGGGCAGCCTCAGAGGCCCACCCTGATTCCCAGGTGGGGCCTGCGGGGTGCCAGGGCATAGAGGATGGCTCGAGTCCCACCAGGACCTGCCTCCCCATCACCATGGCAACTGCCTCTATCCTTGGCCCTGGTACCTAAGAGGGGAGCCTTTGGGCTCCAGCCAACCTCCTTCCCCCGGCCTTTCCAAACCCCTCCCTCTGGATACTGCTTTCCCAAAGGACCAGAAACTAGTCCAGGTGCCCTAACCCCCACTCCCACCCCCGCACCCCAGCTGAGTTGGCGGATCCCGCTCAATTCTGCCAAATTGCTCAATCTGGGCTAACCTGGCAGCCTTGGGAGCAGATGAGAAGAATTTAAGCGGCAGCAGCTGTTCTGGTCCCCACCTCTTCCTCCTTGGTCCACTCTCCCCCACCCCCGGCCGCCCCCCAGCTCCTCGCCCTTCTTCCCCACCCGCTCCTTGGCAGTAATTATGGTGTGATTGAAGCTGCTCCACAGAGAACCGCTGACACCTCTGTCTTTTTCCTGTAAACACGGGGAGATGAAAATAGACACTTGAATCCGCTGTGCGTGTCACTCCGAAGATGTCTGTTGTCTCTTCCACAGCGACACGGAGACTCAGCTGTCATTTCCTCCTTCTCTTTGCGCAGTGGTTTGTATGCCGACTGTCAAAAGCCCCAAATCCATAGTCTTTTAGCATCAGGTTTCTGTCACTGGTTTTTTTTAAGTCATTTTTTTTTCCCAGAAGAAATACACAGAAATCATCTGTATCCCCTCCCCCTGTGGAGAGGAGAGGGAAGATCTTTAAGATGCACACATGCACACACACACGCACACACACACGCACACACACCTGAAAACAAGCTTTTTCATCAGTCACAATTAACTTTAACACCTTCTAAGAAAAAGAACAGGAATATTAATTGTGCTGGTGAGTTTCATGGCTGTGGCTTTTTTTGGCCTGTGATTCTTCCTGTGTCTTCCTTGGAGGGTCGACAGCCATGAGGCTGGTTCCTGGGGCTCAGGAACGGGTGGCTCTGCCCTCCAGAAACTCTCTGCTCTTATCCTGGGGAGTAGCTATGATGGGGCAATGGCAGGGGGTCCCCAGGGCAAGTCAGGGCTCTTCCTTGAGCTGAGCTGCATATTCTCCATGAAGGTGTAAGTTGCAAGGGACTTCTGGTCTACAGACCAGCCCTGCAAATACAGCGTGGACCCCGCCCCACGGCTGGCCAGCTGAGGACAGAAAAGCAGAGAGGCAGCTAGGTTCCCCGGGAGCTGAAAATGAAGAGGGCTGCCGCTGTTGGCCGGCTGTCACGGGCGTGTATGCAGTGTAAGGATGGGCTTTGAATGCTTCTGGGGTTTTCTAAAGTGTGGCAAAAATAATGAACAGAAGGAATTAGAAGGCCCACTTCCAATCCAGTAAGTGTGGGGTTCCTAGTTTACACCAGGATGAAAGGACAAACGGCTTTGTCGTTGTCTTGCTGTCACTGGCTCTTGGTGGTAGAGTTTCTAGGATAATTGAAAACCTGCCTTCACATCGGGGCTCTTTCTGCCATTTGGGAGGCAGATACCGCCAAACGTTCTGCACACCTGTATCCTTATAAACAGACTGCTGAACCCTCAGGCCGTTCTTGGTGGCCTGGGGCCATTGGGAGCCACTTGTTTGTGGCATCATACTGTCCCCCACAAGGAGTGGCCCCAAATCTTGTGCTGAGATCTTGTCTGCTTTTCACGGGTTTTCTGTGTCCCCCTCTGCCACCTCCGGTGCCTGCTGTCATGCTGTCATTTTCTCAGCCGCCCATCCGACTCCTACTCCATCAGCCTCTCTGAGCTCTTTCTGGGTTGCGTCTCCGAGCCCCTTTGCAGACGTGGATGACCGAGCCCGTTTGCACTGTATTTACAGGAGTAACGCTGAGGCCTAGTGGGGGTCTGAGGAACCCCTGAGGGAGTCGAGGACTTGGACTTTGGTGCATAAACCTGGGGGTGTTGGCTTTTTCCTACTGGGGAGGCATTTACCGCCACCACTGATTCAGGACAGCAGAGATGTCTCGAGAGCTGCGGCCACGTGGGTGAAATGGGATGGGCACGTTGTAATCATATGAGTGCCTGGTCTCCTTGACACGCATGTGCCCCGAGATCAGGCTATCAGGGGTTTGCGGATGAGGGACTCACACCTCCCCCAAGAGTCTCTTTTTGGCTCCAGAGCACCTTGGAGCCACAGCATCTCAGACTTGGGTGTCCCTTTCACATCTGGTGAGCCCTGGATGACTTTGCAAAAGGCCCTGAGATGCAACCTGGAACAGAGATGGAAAGGCTGGATGCAGGTCCTGTTTCCCTGGGCAAGTCATGTCCCTCCCCGGGGCTCAGTCTTCCCATCTGTGAAATCGGTATATTGGCCCAGCTCTACATTTTAAATACTGTGTGGTGGAGCCCAGGGTTTGCAGTGGGGGGGGGGGCTCCGCTCCACCCAGCAGGGTCTAGTTATCAATCGTACATGCTAAGCTTCTGCCTAAGACGGTTTGAATAACGAATCTGCAGCTAAGTTAGGCGAACACCACACTGGGGCCATCCTCAAAGGCTTTTCTCTAGGGCCGTGACACTTTTGTGATTTCCAGACTTAAAGATGTCTCAGAAGAGGAAATTTCTGGCTACTCACATCAGACACAGCCTTGCCCATGTCCCCTTTGGACTTTGGAGTTGAAACAATCTCCTTTCTGGTTTGGGTTTTTTCTTTTTTTTAAGCATTTTTTTTTAATTGTAGTGAAATAGAAAACAAAGCTTACCATTTTAACTGTTTGAAGTGTGCAGTTTAGTGGCACTAATTATAACATTCACGTTGCTGGACATCGACCACCACCACCACTACCACCATCTCCAGAACTTTTTCATCTTCCCAAAGTGATTACACACTCACTCCCCGCTCCCCACCCCACCCCCCGCCCCTGGCACCCAGCATTCTACTTTGTTTCTGTGAGTGGGACTCCTCTAGGGACCTCACGTAAGCAGGATCACACAGTGCTTGTCTCTTGGTGGCTGGTTCGCCTCCCTGTGCACCATGTCCTCGGGGTTCATCCGTGGTGCCGCAGGACTTCCTTTTTAAGGCTGAATATTTAATTGTATGTAAACATTCTATTTTGTTTATCTGCTCATCTGTCGGTGGACATTCTGGTGGCTTCCACCTTTTGACTATGTGAACAGCGCTGCTGTGAACACAGGTGTATACATCCTTTCTATGGAAAGATGATGATGGTCAATTTTGAGGGTCACTGAAAACTTGCCCCTTTAAGGCTGTAAAGTTATGTAGTGGGAAGAAAGGGACCTTTTGGGGTGACCTTTGTGGGGATAGGGCGGTCATTACCCCTCTATCAGCACAGCAGACGCAGGGCAGGTTTGTCCAAGGTACTCACCCAAACTTTATTCACGGGGCCGCGCTGCTGGGAAATGGGAGCCTGGCCTTGTGCACATTGTGGGTAATCCTGCTCCTTGGGGACCCAGTGCCTTCAAATCTAGGGTGGCGCTACTAATCAGACCTTCCTCCCGGGACCTTGCTCAGCTCAGGGCTAGGTGCCCCCTCATCACCTGGAGACCACCTGGTCCAAGCAGGTTGTTTGGCAAATGGAGGACCTGGACCTGAGGTGATGGGGAGAAGACTTAGCAAGACCGCCTTCCCACCACTGTCTGGGTTTGGCCGCATCACCACCCAGCCCAAAGTGCTGGTCAGGAACGCGGGGGCCTAGACTCGGTTCCCAGCTCCACCTCAGCCGCGTCCCTTCTCCGGGGCTCAGTTTCCTCATCTGTAGAGTGGGATCAGCACAGGTCAGGGTTTCTCTGCAGAGACGTGGCTGCAGGGGAGCCACCGGCTGAAGGCGGCACGTGTGTGCACATGTGGACACATGTGTGCTCACATGTGCCCAGCCGTCCCCTCTCCGGGCTCCCTGGTGGAAGGCGGGAAGGGACACTTGGGGCCCCGGGCTCCACCATCGTCGGTTTAATTACAGGTTTTCAGCTGCAGGCCGGTGGGCACGAGTCGGGAAGGAGAGGGGAGCGGCTCTGAAACCCTGTCATTTTCCAGCGTCTGAGGGCCTCTTCAAAGGGGGGCATCTAGACATTTTCTCCGCAAGCCGCAGAGTGGACTGTCGTGGCCCCAGCGTGAACATAATGACAGACGCATTTTGCAGCAAGCTGGGCGTGAATGGGTCCGACCGGCTGTCTCCTGTCAGACGAGTCATTATATTTTTTTTTTTTGTCATTCGCTGACAGTTTGGGTTTCATGCGTTTCTCTCTTTTTTCTTCTTTTCCCCCTGCCTGGAAAAATGGCTAGGTATCTACGAGACCCCAGCGGGGACGATCCTTTACCACGCTCATTTAGACATCGAGGCCTTCACCATGGATCGGGAAGTACGCAAAATCAAACAAGGCCTGGGCTTGAAATTCGCCGAGCTGGTGTACACGGGTGCGTAGACCCTGCGGCCGCTCCCCTCCCCTCCCCAACCCAGGGGACCCCTCCTCCAGTCCCACCTTGCCCACTGCCCCCTGCACCCGGAGGATGCAGGTTGAAGGCGGTGGAGAAAGGGCAGGGGACAAGGGAGTGAGAGGGGATGCCAGGACCTGCCTTGTTCACAGGGTGTCGAGGGAAATGTGCCAGTCCCCTAGGATGTCCCGCTGCCTCTGCCACCTGCGAGCCGCATGACTCCAGCAGGCCAGGGAAGCAGCTCCTGTCGTCCCTGAGGCTGCCAAGTCTTATCCAGCACGTGCCAGGTGCCGGGCTGTTGTGGGGACACGAGCCATCCTAGGGGCCTCCCAGTGTTTGTAAGAGAGCTGCGGCCAGCCCCTTTTACAGATGAGGAAACTGAGGCTCAGTCTGAAAGGAGCTTATGTAAAGTTACGCAACCGGAAGTGGCCTGGCTGCACTTGACCCTAGGTCAGCCTGTCTCCAGGCAGAACCTGAAGCCACTACATGAACTGCCTCAAGCAAGGGAAAGCCCACCTTGACCGAGAACTGGGCCCCAGGCCTGGGCATTGCCTGGGCCGGAGCCCCACTAGGAAACCACTGGGATGGCCGCGTGCCCAGCCCGTGCACGCAGTGTGGGTCGGTCTCCACTCGCCAGATGGGGAGACTGAGTTTCCGTGCCCTACCTGTTGTCGCAGAGTTAAAATCCAGGCCTCCCAACTCCAGATCCAGCCCTCGCATTATAATAGGGGTGACCAATCCTGCCTGTCAACTATTTCTGTTCAACCCATGACTAGTTTGTTCAGTTAAGACTAGTTTTTACATTTTTAAATTACTGGAGAATTTAAAAAAAAAAACAATACTATCTCATGGCATGTGGAAATTATAGGAAATTCAAATCTCAGTGTCCCTAAGTCGTTCTGGGGACCCAGCCTGGCTCACCCGTGACACGCTGTCTGGCTACCTCGGAGCTACGGTGGCAGAGCGGAGTGGTTTGGAGAGAAGCCGCGTGGCCCTGCAGAGACCAAAATCGTCACTCTCTGGCCCTTTCCAGAAAGGGCTGACCCTGCTCTGTAACATTCAGGTTTCCTAATTTGAGAAATCACATCCCACGGTCCCCTCTGAGCTGTTGTGGGGACAGGCTAGTCTTCCCACCCACAGGGGCCCGGATGTCAGGGGGGCCCCAGGAAAGTTAATAGTAATAGTAATGGCCTGGGATGAACCGCCACTGCCCCCGCCTCTCCCCCTCGCCACCCCCTCCGAGGTGCTGTTTTCTCTGAAACCTCCTAATCGCTGTAACATCTTGGGATTTCAAGGGGACTCGGTGGTTATTGGTTGGCATTATTTTCTCCCTCCCATTGTTCCCAGCAGCTCTGAAGCCCAGTCCCCTCTCCCCAGGTACAGACAGGTGTTTAAATACCATTGTCTCCTGCGGGCTCCCTCGCTCAGCAGGGTGGCCACACTGAAAGGTGGATTTTGGTTACAAAGTGGCAGAGTCATTAAGACGTGGCAGGCTGCGGTGAGGGGAAAGCACCTGGCCCGGGGCTCTGCCTGCTCCGGGGGCCACCGGCCTCCCTCCCACACCAGGATGGCTGCCACGTCTCTTGCTGCCCGGCCTTGAGCTGGGCACTGACGAGTATTACCTGATCTTGGCTGCACAGAGGTGAGATAGAGACACTTGTCCAAGGTTTCACAGCTGCTGAGCGGAAGCTTTGAGTCCAGGACAGGCTGGCTTCAGAGGCCGAGTTCTCGGCCACTCCAGTGGGGCAGGAAGGTGATCGAGGGACACAGTGGCGTGTACAGGGGAGCCCAGGCGCCTGGGACACAGCTTGCTCCCTGGCTGCGGGGCTGGTACCTCTGCACCAGATTGCCTGGGTTGAGTCCTTGCTGTCACGCATCCAACCCTCTGCATCCCCAAATGAGTTACAGTGATTAGGTCTAAAAGGAAATAAAACCTCAGAGTGGAGGCTCCTCCCAGGGACTTGTTATTAATATTAACTTCACCCAGAAACCTCTGACGTCCATAGATGCCCCCAGAGATGTCAGGGTGGGCCTCAGGCAGCAGCCTGAACCCCCAGCAGCTCACGGGGGCTGTTTGATGTGACTTCCCACATTCGGGGTGCATAGATGTCCTGGAGCAGCATTAACCTGAGCAAGTTACTGAACCTCCCTGTCCCTTAGCTTCCTCGGCTGAGGAGTGGGGGTGATTCTGCCCATCTCATAGTGAGGACGAAATGCATGGATATTTGCAAAGCCTCTAGTGGCTGGCATGGTCTCCAAGTGTGGATGCAGGAAACTGGGGCCTTGCCTCTCTCTGGGTTTATGACCTTGAGTAGGTCTGTCTCCTCCCTGAGCCTCAGTTTCCCCTCCTGAGAAATAAAGGGCACCAGGCCAGGTCCCTTCTCCATCCTTTCCAGCTTCCCAGCTACAGAGCCATGACTCCGCTGTGGTATTCAACTTCCTCGAAGTCTCAGGGCCTTGGAAGACTGAGGCCCGGGGAAGCCTTTCTGCCTCAGACCCACTCCTAGATGCCCTGGCTCCTGTGACCGCTGGCCACCTCCCCCTCCTCTCACCCCATCCCCAGATTTCCTGACCTGCCTGTACGGGGTTCATACAGGCTGCGTCCCTCCAGGAGCAGACGCTGGCCCCTCCCAACAAGAGTCGTCCTGGTGGGACCCCAGCCTCAGGACCCATCAGGGGTGTAGCCCACCTCTCCCCTCACCTCAGTTGCTTCAGCAGTAAAGTGGGTCTAAAGCACAAAGAGTTGTCATCCCAATTGGTAGAGAGTCCGGCCCAGCCCCAGGCCCCACCCACAGGGCGTCCCCCAGCCTGGGACATGCAGGGTCTCCCCAGTGCAGCACTTTAGGCTCAGCATCCCCTCCCCAGGCTGGGTCTGCTGGGAAGAGAAATCTGAGCACAAGGCCCCGTGGGGAGGGGGGCAATAAAGCCCAGGCCAGGTGCTCCCACAGGGGTCTCTGCCCTCCTATCTCTGGCTCCATCTCCCGCCTGTCTCCCAGCCTGGATCCTAATGGTCTAATTATCCTAACTTAGAAAGATGGCTGAGCCACTGGGGCATGGCGGGGGATGGCCATCAGTGTCCCCTCCAACCGGGGTCTGGGCTAGAGTCAGGAGCCCTCAGGATCTCACTGTGTGGCTTTGGAAAGGCCCTTTCCCTCTCTGGGTGTCTGTCTCCCTGTACACAGGGAGGGCTGGCAGAGGCCATGTTCAGATCTCAAATGCAAAATGCTCACTGAATCCTCACAACCCTCTGGAAGGTGGTTAGTGTCATCTCACTGAGCAAAGGACACTGAGGCACAGAGATTAGGTTGCTTGTCAAGGCGGAGCTGATGTGAACTCAAATAGCAGGGCCCCACAGACTGAGGACCTAGCCCCTTCTCCCCCTGCCCCATCCTCCCCGACGTCTGCGAGCCACCGGACCCCAGCGCCGAGAGGGCCTGCTCCCCTTTCCCACGGAGAGCCTCAGCAGGTGCCCCTGGAGGCCCGGGCCTCCAACAATAGCCGCAGACCCGCGGCTGACCCGACCCTTTATCAGGGCAGGAGATCGCGCACCATCTGGCCCCACAGCTGCCCAGGTGGGCTCACCTTCCCATCTCCGTTTCAGAGAAACCCTACTCCTCACGCTGTCCCTCCCCCAACCCTGGCCATAGCCGCCTTCCCTGGGCAGAGACTGAGAGGAGCCGCTGTCCAGACCCCGAGCCGACCGGGGACTGAGTGCGTGGCCCGCACCGGCCCAAGGGATCTAGGGGACAGATGTGAGTGACAGGGGAGGTAGAACATTTCTCAGGCGCCTCGGGGATGGTGCAGATGCGGATGGGAGAGCACCAAGATGATCATATGAAGCAGAGTTGTTATAACTTAGGCCAGCTGAGGTCGGGTCCCCCACTTCGGCCTGTGTGATCTTGGAGAAGTCTCAAATTCCCGGAGCCTCACTTCCTCATGCAGAGAAGAGAGAAGCTGGGGGATAGGGAATAGCTCAGCGGTAGAGCGTGTGCTTAGCATGCATGAGGTCCTGGGTTCAATCCCCAGTACCTCCATTAAAAAATAAATTGAAAAATAAAATAAGAAAAAAAAAAGAAGAGAAAGAGGCCAAGAGAGCTTTTTGTCCTGGGACTGTTTGTGAGGATTCAAAGAGTTAGTCCAGGTGAAGAGAACTTAGCCTGGTGCCTGTGCTTCCCATGCAGAAATATCTGCATATGAAAATATTAGCATTATTTTAGGGTGGAGGGTATAGCTCAAGTGATAGAGTGCATGCTTAGCACACAGAAGGTCCTGTGTTCAATCCCCAATACCTCCTCCAAAAGTAAATAAACCTAATTACCTCCCCTCTCTGCCAAAATAAAATAATTAAACAATATAATAATAAATAAAGTATTTTTTGAAAAAGAAAATATTAGCAGTATTTTAAAGGTGAGTCACTGATTTCCAAGGAGCCTGCCCATCTTGAGGCGTGGGGCTCTTCCCAGCTCTTGACCAGTGAGCCCAGGGCCTCCATGCTCTGTAAGCCCGCTAGCCCTGGACTCAATAGATGGGGAAACAGAGGCACAGAGAAGTGAAGACCATACACATGGTCTTGCTGGGCACCCACATCTCGGCCCTGATGACCTATGCCTGAGTCTTACTTGAGATCTCCTGCCCAGCTGTCTGCTGCCCTGATGAGACTGAGCCCTCTGGGGCCAAAGGATGGGGTCCCTCCACCACTGTGTGCCCAGCACCTTGCCCTTGGCACTCCCTGAATGTCTGTGGTGTGAAGCAGCAGGTTAGACCCTCCTGATCTTTGGGGTTGACTGCACTGCAGTCTTGTGCAGGCACGTCTTCACCCACAGGAGTCCGGCAAGGTTACAGGACAGGAGCTGGCGGGACTGATCCTTAACATGGTCATTCACAAGTGCACATGGTGCCAGAACTTCACAGTGAACGAGGCAGATGTGGGACGGCCCTCCCAAGCTCACGTCTGCCATGATGGGGTGAGGTGCAACGTGCCCAAGTCCTCCTCATGTCCTGGCCCAAGGCTGTCAGCACAGTGGGCACCCTGGCTCCCTAGCACCCTCTCTTTTCCTCCCCGCAGGTTTCTGGCACAGCCCTGAGTGTGAGTTTGTCCGCCACTGCATCGCCAAGTCCCAGGAGCGTGTGGAAGGGAAAGTGCAGGTGTCTGTCTTCAAGGGCCAGGTGTACATCCTCGGCCGGGAGTCCCCACTGTCCCTCTACAATGAGGAGCTGGTGAGGTAGGCGCCCCCACACCTGCCCCAGCTGGGCACAGACCCTCAACCCAACATCTTCTCTGACTGGCTCTCTCAACAAAGATGTGCCTGAGGACGTGCAGGACGCGGGGGAGACGGTCCTGAAGAGCACCTGCCTCTGCCCTCGTGGAACTTACAGGCTGGATGGGAGCAAGGCCCCAGTCAAAGGGCCGAGCGTAGGGTGGGGAAAGGTGGTGCTGGGCCGTGTGGAGGTACTGGATATTCCAGCTGGGTATAATAACCGGCATGTGGAGAAGCTTCCCCTCGGAAGTCACCTTTGAGCTGATCTCCAAAAGAAAAAAGTGAGCCAGGTAGAGAGGGGACAGGAGGGTTTCCAGAGAGACTACGTGCTGTGTAGATTCTGAGCCTTGGAGGAACCCAGAGCACCCCAGGCACTACAAGAACGCTGGACTGTGAGGGCTTTGGAGCCCGATCCTAAAGGGACCTGTGGTTTTTGAGGGGCCTTTCCTGCTGCTCTGGAGAACAGATTTGAGCAAGGTGGGAGCTGGCAGGGGTGGAAACCAGGGCTCCCGTGGGACGTGCTGGTGGCTTGGACCAGGCTGGTGGTTCTGGGACTAGAGAGAAGCAGACGGATTTGACAGGTATTTAGGAGGTGGAATCGAATGAGCTTGGGTGTCGAGGGAGACGAAAGAGTGCAGAATCACCCTGGGTTTTGTGGCAAGAGATGTTAGGTACACTTTGGTGGCAATCACTAAGTTGAGGGAATGGGAGAAAAAATCGTGCATTTGGATTTGGACATCTTGAGGATGAGTTTTCTTTGAGATCAGCCAGGAGAACCATAGTCAGCTGCTGGACACACGGGGCTAGAGTGGAGGAGAAACGTGCGTTGAGGACATTGGACAGTGAGTCCAAGAGGAGGCTGCCCGGGGGAGCATCAGTGGGATGGGACCAACAGGCCAGGCCAAGGGTGCTGAGAAGGACGCGGGAGCGGTGGGGAGCTCTGGCAGGCTGGGTCAAGGGCAGCGGCTGCCTATTAGGTGCTCCTGTGTCTGCATCATGACCGAGAAAGTGGCCTTGACTGAGAAGCAAAGCATTCCCTTTGGAGGTCACCTGGCCAAACAAGAGGTGGGGACAGGTAGCCCCACCTGACTCAAGTCCCAGGCCCAGCCTAGCTCAGGCTGTGGCCAGCTCTCCCCTTCCGGAAGCCAGTCGGGGATTAAAGTACGAGTTTTGTTTGGCAGTCAATATTATTTTTTTTCTCTCCCTTCTCTTTGCCGTGTTGCGTTTCTCTCCCCCCTTCAATCTTTCTAAACACTTTATAAGCCATAAATATAACCGAATCAGTTTAGATCAGTCGGGGTAAATGTCAAATTATCTTCTCTCTTTCTCTCTCTGGCTCTTTCTTCCCTCCCCCTCCAAATCCACAGCCCCTAATAATCTGTCCAACCCTTCATTAAGCCTTACAGTCTCACTCAGGGAGATTAAATGAATAAAGTAAAAAGGGAAAGGGGAAAAAAAGAGAGAAAAGCAGGAGCATTTATTCTCACTGTGTCTCCGACCATTTCCCCTTTCTTTCTGATTTCTACATCGCTGACTTGAAAGCCCTTGAGTGACAGCGTCACAGGGACCAGCGAGGAAGCCGCGAGAGGTAGCAGGACTGGAAATGCCGCGGCACAGTAGGTAGAAAGTAACGTAATTATAGAGCAGGTCAGAGCCACTCGAATGAACAAAAATAAAAGCACAGAGGTTTTCTGTAGACCGTCAGGGGAGGTTAAAAAAAAATCATTGTAAACTCTTTTTTCCACCGGCACCCCCTCCACCCCACCCAAACCACGGTTTTTAAAAGAGGTTTTCAGTTTTTGAGAAACACCTCTGGGAACTCTTCACCCATCTCCTGGGACAAGTTTGCCTCTGGATGTGGGCCTCTCTCTGCAGGGGCTGCTGGGGGAGGGCGGGGGTTTGAAGGGCCTGCTTGGGGGAAGAGGGTGGGAGAGTTTGTTCTGACTCTTGGGAGATGGAGGTGAAAAGACAGATGCACAAGGGGGAGCAGGAAGGCGTCCAAGCCCTGCTTTCTCCCTGGGCTGAGCGCAGGGCTCCTTCCAAAGGGGACGAGGCGATTCCGACAGTGGGAGTGAGGCCAGGTGTCCGAAGCCAGCTGCGTGGTTTGCGTGTGTATGTGGAGGGAGGGGTCATGTTAAGCTTCGTTTATCACCCCCAGCAAGGTCTGCACAAGCCATTTGAGGAAGCTGATGCTTTAGTATGGTCCAGTTTTTCCCCTGCCCAAGCGGCAGCCCCTCGGAAGTCTGATGTCTTCTCTCCTTACAGGGAGCTTGCTAGTCGGTTCTCGGTGGCTTCAGCCACCTGAGCCCTGGAGGGGCCAGTGGAGGTGAAAAGGAGGGAGGGCAGGGAGCGTGGGAGTGCCATGTGCCAGCGTCAAGGTCCCATGAAGGTCAGGGCCAGGGCGTGGCGGGGGAGGCGCCGAGACCCCATTTGTTGTTGTACAGAGTCCACAGTCCACAAAGAGCCAGTCAGAGGCACAGCCTCAGGGCCTCGGAAAACGGCAGATCTCCTCTGCCCTCCCTGCCCCAATCTCACCTCTCTGAGGAAGGCTCCTGAGGGGACAGGCCACCTCCTTGTCATCGAGAACCTCAAGGCTGCTTTATCCTGAGGCTGGAGTTCTGCTGCTGCGAAGACAAGGGGCTGATTCAAGGCAGGACACAACAGGAGGTCCATGAGAAATGGGAGGGACCCCCTTCCCCAAGGGGCTCAGAGAGTGGCCTTGTGGAGTCAGATCTGAGACCACAGCACCCTGAACTTATCCTCAAAGAGCATATCACAGTTGTAATTATCAAAGGCAGATGGATGATTGATTGCTTCTGTCTGCACTGGTCGCGCCCCTCCCCACCCCCATGTGGGTGCCACTCTGGTCTTGTTCTTACTTCCTCAGTACCTGGCACAGCGCCTGGCAGGTAGTAGGTGCTTAATAAATGCCTGGTATATGAGTGAGTGAATGAATGAGGTTGGTAATCGTGATGCTTACCGTGAGCCGGGTGACAGCTACATCGCTGCACGTGGAGCCAGTGGTAATGCTGAGAGCCCCCGTTCACAAGGGAAAGACTACGGCTCAAAGAGCAGGGGCATTTGCCCTGAGCCCTGTGGTTGGGGGTGGAGCCAGGATGCTCACCCAGGTGGCTGGACCATGGTTGGAAAGGGTTCTGAAGGGCAGAGAAATGCGAACACCCAAGAGAGGGAGGCTGTTGAATCTAGTAATGGAAACTGTAGATTGGGGGGAAAAATCCGTTCCATTGAGTATGGCAGGAGTTGACTGGGCACTTTTCGTGACCGGCTGGCATGCGGTGGGTGCCCAGGTTTGAGGAGGGATTGGACGAGGACGCTCTCTGGGCAAACAAGGTAAAAGGTGACTTAGTGGGCAGGTCTTGAATGCTGGGTCCTCCCTGCAGCTTGAGGAATGCTTTCACGCATATCGGAGGCGGTTTGGTGTGTGACCTCTGGCCGCCTAGGCCTTCAGGCCACTGGCCACATCGGCTGCCCCTGGGCACTCCTCGAGGACCCCCCCCCCCGAGCCTGAAGGCAGCGCTGACTCCAACGTGGGTCCTCGGGTCACAGACGCAGCGCTCCGGTTCGTAGGAGGATTTCACCAGGCTGGTACTGGCTGGGCCAGGACCCGACCCACCCATTTGCACAGCAGGGATGCGGCTCCCTGCTCTCCAGCCCTGGCATGATGCCTGGCCCAGGGCAGGGCTCCCTGAATTGGAAGGATGGAATGAAAAGCCAAAGAGCAGGGCGGGTTGGATCAACAGAGGGGAAATGCCTGGGTGTCTGAGAGGCTGAGGTCCCTCCAATGCCAGGGCCAAGGCCTGGGTGGGTGCTAACAAGCCTCTGCTCCCTCCTTGCAGCATGAACGTGCAGGGCGATTACGAGCCGATTGATGCCACTGGTTTCATCAACATCAACTCCCTCAGGTGAGCAGCTTTGGGCCCTGATGGGTCCTCGGACCCTCCAGGTGTGGGAAGCAGGCTCGGATGGGACCTCAGTGCTCTGACTACTAGTCTGCCCTAGAAAAGCCCCGCCTTCCTGTCCCTCCACCCGCAGACCCTCAGTGCCTGCTTTGGACCCAGCCTGCTCCCATCCTCTGGTCATAAACCCAGAGAGAGGCAAGGCCCCAGTTTCCTGCACCCACACGTGGAGACCATGCCAACCACTAGAGGCTTTGCAAATATCCATGCATTTCGTCCTCACTATGAGATGGGCAGAATCACCCCCACTCCTCAGCTGAGGAAGCTGAGGCACGGGGAGGTTAAGTAACTTGCTCAAGTTAACACTGCTCCAGGACATCTATGCACCCCGAATGTGGGAGGTCACATCAAACAGCCCCCCTGAGCTGTTGGAGCGACAGGCTGCTGCCGGAAGCACAGCCTTCTGACAGCCAAGAGCAACAGAAGGTCCTGGCATTCGGGTTCCAGGTCTCTAGATTCTGCTGTTTGCCTCTGACATGCACTCCCACCTTCTCCAGCCACAGGGACTCCAGTAGGAGCCCCTTTCCTGGGCAGGTTAGCAAGGGAAATGGCCGAGACGTAGAAAGGAGCCTCAGATGGTCACCCAGCCAGCGCCTGCCTTCATGTCGCCATACATGAGCTGCAGGTCTGCAGGTCTAACTGGAAATGTGGGTCTCCATGGCCCAGTGGGTGACACACTTCTGAAGCCATTCAGACCTGGGTTCAAATCCTGGCTCTGCAGTTCGGTCTCAGGCCCCTTCCGAACCTCTGGAAATCACAGCGGGGATGTCAACCATACCTGCGTCACAGGTGCGGTGAAAGCTCGGTTATCAGTCCGTGGACATGAAGCACTCTGCCCGGACCCTGGCACACAGGATGGGCGCAGGGCCCAGCAGCAAGGGCTCCGTGGGGCCGAGTCCAGGCCTGTGTGTCCAGCTCTGAAGGTTTCTTTTTTTAATTGAAGTATAGTCAATTTACAATGTTGCGTTAGTCTCTAGTGTACAGCATAGCGACTCAGTATACACACACACACACACACACACACATTCTTTTTCATTATAAGTTATTACAAGATACTGTACATAGTTCCCTGTGCTATACAGTGGGGCCTTGTTTATCCATTTCATATACAGTAATAGTATCTGCAAATTCCAAACTCCCAATTTATCCCTCTCCCCCTTCCCCCCATAACCACAAGTTCATTTTCTTTGTCTATGAATCTGTTTCTGATAAAATAAGTTTCTTAAGATTCCACATGTAAGTGATATCGTATAGTTTTTGTCTTTGTCTGGCTTACTTCACTTAGTTTGATAATGTCTAGGTCAGCTCTGGGTTCTTAATCACCAACTTCCTTCTCATGGGGCTTGGGGTCAAGAAGAAAGCATGACTCTCCTATCTCTGATAACAGACCCATTTTCTCCCCGAGCCCGCCTCTTGTCCAGGGAGCCAAGACCAGGAAAGACATCGAATCCAGCCCAGCCGCCCTGGGCGCTCTCCCCTCCTGACAGTCACCTCACCTCCCCGCTTCTTCACCCTGTTTCGTATTTTATGACTCCATAAACCCTTTTAAATGGCTCTGAACACACCGGGTTTTCATAATGGCCTCTTCATCTCTCCCATTGCCAGTTAAACGCTTTGTCTTCAACAATGGCAAAGCAATGTTTTCCCCCTAAGATAAATTAATTACATTATCCTGATTGGGAGGCAGGAGGGGCCGGGTCAGGAGAGGGAAGAGAGGGAGGGAAAAAAAGACAACTTCACACACATCTCAACAAACAGCTGCCCCCTGCACACACACACACACACACCCAGCCCTCCCTGAATTAATTGAACTAAGTGCATGTTGTTATTGTTAATTTACATTTTTCTTTGTTTTGAATCTGGTTTACAGGCTGAAGGAATATCATCGCCTTCAGAGCAAGGTCACCACCAAATAGACCCGCTGACAATGAGGAGCTGGGCCCCCTCCCTTTGCCTGTCTCCCAAGTACAGCTGCTAATTGTTGTGATGATTTGTAATTGTGACTTGTTCTCCAGGGCTGGCAGTGTAGTGGGAGTGCCAGGCCCTAGCTTTGTTCCCTGGTCCCCTGTAGCCTGTAGAAGTGGTCAGCAAACTGAAGGAGAGGGTGCGGCTACAGTGAGGAGCTGGAGCTGTAGCTGTAAAATGCGATTTAAAAAAATGATACATTAAGTCTTGTTTCTTTATTTCTGCACAGAGAGGGGTGTGTGTGTGTGTGTGTGTGCGCGCGCGCTTTTCTTTGTGTTTTCTGACTTACGTGCTGCCGGAGGCCACCTTCCGCCATCCGCCAGGGAGCCTGTTTATCTGTAAGAATAGACTCCTCTCACCAGCAAAAAGCGTGGAATCCAGAAGTGCCCATCTGGGTCAGACCCGAGACCAGCAGCCTGACATTTTGTTACCGACTGCGGCCCTGTGGCACGTGCCAAGGGAACAGAAGAGAGTTTCGGTGACGTCCTTGGGGTCCCGCCCACAGCCCACAGTGAACTCCCGGGAATGGTGGCCACGGCTGACCACACGAGGCTTCCCCACCATGGCTGCGCGGCCCTCAGTAGCCTACATTAGGGAGGAGGAAGAACCCGAGCAAGAAGAGAAGCCTGAGCAGAGAGGAGAAAAGAGCAGACAGAATCTGGTGAGGAATTTCGGGGAGGCGTGGGGGGTACCGCTGTCCTACGAGGCTCTCTATCCCTCCACAAACCGCAGCCTAAAGCAGCCATGTTTGTACTTGACTCCACCCCTTTGGGATGATCTGATTGGACCTTGGGTGGTCACCTGACTAGATCTGGGCCAATCAGAATCTCAGTCCCAGGGATTGGGCCTGGGGAAATGGCCAGAAGTGAGGACCTGGGAACTTAGGTCTAGGGGTGATGCCCAGTGCTGGGACAAGCAGAAAGGAAAAAGGAAGCAAGCAGGAAGTGATGGGAACAGTGTCTCCGGTTTAGAATCCCAGTTCCCGTCTTGGAACGTGTCATGGAAGCTGGTGGCATTTCTTAACCTGGATTCTCTGAGACGCTGTGGTGTTCTCGTAACCAGCTACCATTTGGAGTAATTAACCTGGTGAGAGATTTTCTGGTACTTGCAGCCAGAAGCACTGTTCTTGGGAAGACTTGGTTGCTGGTTGCTCTGGGTTCTGCCCTGGTTCTGATCTCCACTCCACTGCCCTTGTGAATGAGGGTTTCTTTTAAAAGTTTTGTCTTTTAAAACTTGTCTTCATCTTATTATAAAAATGATCAGTGAATTACTCGGTGAATATTAACTTTGTGCCAGACACTTTGCTGTGCATTTTATTTACATTATCTCATTAAAATCTCCAAAACGACACTAAGGTAGATGCTTTTATCTGCACTTGGCAGAGGAGGCAACTTACATATGGAGAAGTGGATTTGCCAATGTTCAGTCAGTTAGCAGGTGACAGTGCCAAGAACCAAACCCTGGCTTGGTTGACCCCCAGATCTTGTGTGTTTATGTCCTTAACCATCATCAGGCTGCATCTGAGTTTAAAAAAAAAATCTATGAGAAATAACCATCACCCATCATATCACCACCTGATTATACATGCTGCTTATACTTAATATATTTCTTCTCAGTCATATTTTTCTATGCTTGTAAACATTTTTGCAGAGGTATTTAGGTTAAAGGATTTTAAAAGCAAGTGTTTTACTCTGCTTTTAAATTAACATTCTATCATAAAAGTCGTTTTCTACATCAAAAACTCAAACATTTTCAACAACTACATTAATATTCCGCTATATTGATACCCCCAACTTACTTAACCTTTCCTCATTTATAGATTTCGTTCTTTCCATTCTAAATTATTTTCCTCACTTTTGTTAGATTGAGTATTTTTAGTGGTCAGTTTATTAGCTATACTTTTTGCCTTTTCAGTGGTTTCTCTAGAGTTTGCAGTATGGTATAGCTTTAGCTTACCACAGTCTACTTTCATTAATGTTATACCATGTCATAACATAAGAATCTTACAACGGTATAATCTTAGAACATTTCACTCTGTGCTTTTGTTGTCATATATACTGATTCTATAAAACCTCACAATATGTTGCTATTTTTTTCTTTAGGTAGTCAAATATCATTTTTAAAAATTAAAAATAAGGAAGGTATGTATTTTATACTTATCCTTGTGTAGGATTGATAATGTTTCTTTCACAAATATTTGAGAGAGTTCACCAGTGAAGCCACCTGGGCCTGGAATTTTCTTGGCGGGATGCTTTTAAAGTATGAGTTCAGTTTCTTTGATTTATATTGGGTTATTCATGTTGTCCATTTCCTCTTGGGTACTTCATGTCTTTTGAGGAATTTGCCCATTCCATTTTAAGTTGTTGATTTTATTGGCTTATAATTTTTTTATTATCCTTAATTGTCTGTTAGGATTGAGAGTAACATCCCTCTTTCACTACTCACCTTGGTAATTTGTGTCCTCCCTTATTCTTGATCAAAGTAACTAAAAACTTTGATCATTGTAAAAGTTCTCTCTTTTTTCCTGCCTGCTTTTAAGACTTCCTTTGTCGCTGATTTCATCAACCTGATCGTGACGTGCCATGTTACTGTTTTCTTATGTTTATTCCACTTGGAGTTCATTGAGCTTTAGAGTGTGGATTTTTTAAATCAAATTTGGAACATTTCCAGGAATTTTTCCCTAAAATTTGTTTGTCTACCCACGTCTTCTTTCTGGCACTCTAATTATACATATCATAGACCATTCGAATTGTGCCATAAATCACAGAGACTCAGTTAATTCTTCTCTGTTAAGTCTGTTTTTCCTCTGAGCTTCATTTTGTACAGTGTATGTTACTATGTCTTCAAATTCATTGTTCTTTTCTTCTGTGCTAATCTGCTATTAATCTCACCAAGTGTATGTTTCATTTCAGATATTTTTCATCACTGAGTCATTTTTATATATGCAGTTTCTCTCATCACCATGCTTATATTTTCCTTTACATCCTTGAGTGTATGGAACATATTCATAATGGCTGCTTTAATGTCCATTTCTGTTCATTCTATCATCCCTGTTGCTGCGTGGTCTGCTCCTGTTGACTGATTTTTCTCCTAACTATGGGTCACATTTTCTGCTTTTTTGTATAGCTCATAATTTAAAATCTTTAACACTGGGCATTGTAACCTCCTTGCATCATTGGATTTCCTTGTATTCCCTTGAACAGTATTGGACTTCTTTAGAGAAGGCAGTTTAGTTACTTGTAGATTAGTTTAATTCTTCAAAGATTTGTTTTTAAGCTCTTTGAGGGCAGCTTTAGTTCTTACTCTAGGGATAATTTCACTCTACTTCTTAAGGTGTGGCCTTTCTAGGAGTCTTACTTGATGACTTGTGTTCAGTGCGGTCTCTTCACTCACTCTGGAGGATACTTGAACAATTCCCAGTCCTGTATGAGATTCCCAGTCATTTTTCTTTCCTTGAAAATTGTTCTTATGCAGCTTCATGGGATTTCACTCTAGGAGGACATTGGCATTTACCAACGACTCCACTGGCCGCCATACAGATGGCTGGAGTTCTTTCTGTTAGTAGCTCCCTCTTCTCTGGTCATCGGCCCCGTGAATCCCAGCTGCCTTGGCCTCCACAAGTGCCATCTGCCTTCTTAGCTCAGTAAGATCACTGGACTCTTTATCTCCCCTCTCCATTCTGCGGTTTGGGAATTATCTCCAGGCAGAAAGCTAGGCAGCAGCAGGGCTCCCCTTGTCTGTCTCTCTCTTTTCACAGTTCTGTGCTGCCTGCTGCTGAATGTCTAAAAATGTTCCTCTGTTTTGTCCATTGTTTACAGTGGGAGTATAATTCCAGAGCATCTTACTCCTTCATAGACAGAAGTGGAAGTTGATTTTTTTTTCAGTATAACAATAATATCATCCAAATACCCCTAGGCCACCAGGGCCAGGGGTCACATTTAGTATCTCATTATCCTAAGTCACTCAGTTTCTCATTCTTGTTGAACCAACACCCACCCACAATGGCTCCTATTTCACTCAGCATAAAATCCAGAGTCCCTCCTATCCCTGGCATCAACTACCAGACATGGAAGTGAGGCCACGTGGGAACCTCCAGACCAGGCAAGCCGTAAGATGACAGCAGCAACCTAAATGATCCCACACAAGGCCAGCGGAGGAACCACCCAGATGGACAACCTATAGACTCATGAGAATGAATCAGTCAAGTTTCGCTTTATTACACTAAGTCTACATTAGTTATTATGCTGCAAAAGATAGTTGATACACTGACTATTCCTTCTTGATCTGGCTCCCTCTCACCTCCCTTCACTCTCCCTCTCCCTCTGCTTCAGCCCCAGGAGCAGAGCTCTGCCTGCAACTTCCTCCCACAGGTAGCCACAAGGCTCAATCTAGAGCCCCAACCTGGCCCTTACTATACACTTCGCCCTGCCTCTCTTTGTCACATATCAACAGCTGTCATTCTACGCCTTGCTTTGCTTTGTGTGTCTAACAGTTTTTTATTGGGTGCTGGGCATTGTTAAATGTCTCTTCCGCTAGACAGGAAGCTCCACGTGGGCAGACACTGGGTCTGTTTTGTTCACAGCTGTGTCCCAGGTGCCAAAACCATGCCTGGTCTATAGCAGGTGCTCACGACGTATTGGTTGAGTGAATGAAAATCTATCCAGTCTTTACTAGCTCAGAAGCCACATCCAAGGAACTACAGGAACATGTACTCCCCTTTCCCCTCCCCCTCACTTCAAGGTTTTCCTTGATCTAGAAGCCCAAGGAGCAGTGCCTAAGTGCTCAGGAGCCATTCCACCCCAGTCCTCCTGCCACAGCCCAGGACCTGCCTTCATTCACCTTCTTGTCCCTCGTGTCACCCCACTCCAGCCACTGCCTATGCCATTGACATGATGCTGCCCCAGCTCTCAAGACCACTGACCCCAGCTCCACTGAGTAGTAGGGAGGAAACCACCCCTTTAGGGGATCTGTACTAGGGTTGTTGAACACCGAGATGTTAGAACTCTTACTTTTTCATATACACAGCCCCCTTCCACCTGAGCATGCAGGTGCGGCCAAATGGTCTGAGCTGGCAATAGTTTCAATCAACAACCCCCAGCTGCCACTAGACTCACCTCATTCTCCAACTATCAGATCCTATTGCAGGGGTTAGCTCATCCG